AATTTCGTCAAATTATCGACGCACACGCTATGCCGGTGTTTTGTGACCGTCTTTGTAGAGCGCGAGTAGGGGGACCACCCCAGACGATGATGACTCCTTCAAGCAAAATCTCGGATAGTGCATCACAGATCAAGCAAGGTGATATCAAAATTTAGATGTGGAATATGTAAGAAAGTGATATAAAATGAATACATGGGCCTCTCCTAACGATTTCAAGTTATTGATACTAAATGTCATGTGATATAATAAAGGCAACACAAATTCAAATTCGATTAAACAACTTATCTTTGTCTAAATTCATGCATTTTTTGGGGTAAAAGAATGAATTTGATATATATGGAACTGAATTAAACTCCATTGTCAACTCCATTATTAAAAAAAACTCAATTTCCATTTGAAGGCAAGTAAGTTATTAATTTAGACGTTATCTTAAGGATATTCATTCCATGTATAACTAAAAAATAAACAGTAAATTAATATCTCTTTTAGGTTACAAAGAGAGAGACTCTATATAATGCAAACTCATCATGGGATACAAGCAATTGATAAATATACATTAGCAAATAGTTGTCTGCAGGCTAGGACGACATTACAAAAGCCATAACAATGAAAAGCAACGTTGCCACCATTGTCATAGTTTTGCTAGTCGTCCTAGTATTATTTTCTGGCGATCATCGTTCATGTTTTGCTAATGAGCACGATGAATGTGTAAATCGATGCATGCAAAAACTTCATGGGATTGATCCATTTTTTAAATGGGAATATTGCAATGCCGTTTGTAACGGTAACAACAAACTAGTCGCAACAAATCCTTCCTTTGTCCAGAATCTCAAAAATGATGATCATGCTTCGACGATGACGACGACTCAACATTAACAAAGTCATCTTGTAATGGGAGAGTTGCAAGGATTAAGTGGATGATATTTTGTTAAGAATAAATGGATTAATATTATTACAGTATGCTTATAATTTGATAACGATTACAACATTGTCTTCATGCACACTTTATTTATGTTCCTTGATTAAATAATTGAAATTCAATGAATATTAATGAGATTGGCACATATATCAATCGTGTTCATTGGTGTATAAAAAATATCAAAATTATTGCTGCCTATATGTTATGTAATAGTATTTTTGTCACTATCTCTCTCAAAGTTTCAAGCGAGGACAACATACATTCTTGATAACTCAACTTTTCATAAAGAGGTAACAATTTTAGATAATCAACTCATAGATAACTTATCTGAATATTCATAATAAAAAGAAAAACTATGTAATAATGAACTCTTTCATGAGCGTTCACAGCATAGCGAGAAAAAAAGAAAAAAAAAAGACATATATATATATATATATATATGTCCTTTGAGAAAGGTGTTGGTAGCAAGCAATATACACAAATCATCAAACAACCTATCTAGCTAGCAAGCACAATGAAGATGGTTGAGCAACATATCTACCATAACTCAACTTTTATTTACCTTGGTTTGAAACAATCTACCACCATTTGAATTTTAGTTTCAAATTTCATTAAAAGTTTCAAATAAGCAGGTTTTCATTATTCGATTCTCGATTTTTGTAAGTTTCGACTAAACCGATTTCATTTTTAGATTCTCAAAATTGGTTTCTCAAAAGCTAGAAAACAATAGCTCCGTTTACTTCAACTAGTTTTGTCTCCATCCCAGAAATTCAATAGTGAAATTTCCTACACATTCGAGATTGCAATGACAAAAGAAGAGAGGCAGAGCAGGTTCCAATAGTGAAATTTCCTTCCAAAATCCAAAACTACATCACCTTACAAGTCATTAGATGTAGTGATGTACAGTGCCCAACATTGCTAAAATTACTTAAGCAGGTGGTTTGACTTAGTTTGATACTCATATACGCATTAAACATGTTTAAATTAAAGCTCCTATTTTTTTGTACTATTGTAGAATAGTTTGATTTTTGTTTCATTTGTTTGATTGATCATTCACTAGTAAATGATCTCAAATCTTTAAACATATTGTTAGATTAAAATATCTTTAAACATATTGATTAGGTTACCATAAGTTTGCTTGGTAAGAAAATCCATAGAATTTTATATATGGCAGTAACACAAATCCCTATAATGTTGAATTTCTTCACAATCAATGAAATTGCATATATAAGAAAAGCACAAAAAAGAACATGAAGCTGATGTACGTGGAAGCTTTTTTTTGAAAGATATATAAATGGAGCTCGTAGGCATAAAGAAACTTCAAAGCCAATTTGGTTAAAAAAACACCATATTACAAAAGCTATATACTGCATACAAGCAAAAAATTGTACTACGAAAGCCAGATTGCTATATCCAGGAATCTGGAAAACACAATGAAGATCAACGCCACTGCCATAGCTTTGCTAGTTCTCATATTATTCTCCGTCGAGGATGGTCGTCGTTTATGTGTTGGGGAAGATTACGCCAAGTGTATTCTCTGGTGTGTATCAAAATTTCGTCAAATTATCGACCCACACGTTATGCCGGTGTTTTGTGACCGTCTTTGTAGAGCGAGAGTAGGAGGACCACCCCCGATGATGATGACTCCTTCAAGCAAAATCTAGTGTATCACAAATCAAGCAAGGTAAAATCAAAATTTAGATGTGAAATATGTAAGAAAGTTATACAAAATGAATACTTGGTCTCTCATAATATCGTTATGTTATTGAGGTCAAATGATTTGTGACATAATAAAGGCAACACAAATCCAAATTAGATCAAACAGCTTAACTTTGTCTAAATTCATGCATTTTTTTTTCAATGAATACATGGAGTTGAATTAAACTCCATTGTCAACTCCATTATTGGGAAACAAATCTCAATATCCACTTGAAGGCAAGTAACTCATTAAGACGCTATCTCAAGGATATTTATTTCATGTATAACTCAAAGACAAACCGTAAATTAATATCTTCTTTAGGTTACCATGAGATTGTTAACCATGAATATGAAAATTATGATGAAGATTGAAGGCAAACGACATCTATTGATCCCGTGATAATATTCTCTGTCGATATTGATAGATATCAATATTTCCACTTTCCAGGTTATAGAGATAATATACCAAGCATGTTCATTAGTGTCTAGAAAAAATCAAAATTATTGATGCATATATGCGTTACGTGCTGCTATTTTGTGAGCAACAACATTTTTGTAACTACAACCGTAATTCTGCTGCTACTAATCCTATTTGTTGTTGACAATCATCGCAATTTTTGAAGATGCGGAGGATCCATGCAATGAAGATTGCATGGATCAGTGTGTGCTACAGCTCAAGTGTTTGCCAATTTATCTTATTGGGTCATACAGTGACAGATGCAGCAGCCCAGAAACTCAATAGTGAAATTTCCTACACATTCAATTCGAGATCACAATGACACTAGAAGAGAAGCAGAGCAGGTTCTAATAGTCAAATTTCCTTTCCAAAATCCAAAACTGCAACACCTTACAAGTCATTAGATGTAGTGATGTACAGTGCCCAACATTGCTAAAATTACCCTCTCTTAGCTAAGCAGGTGGTTTGACTACCCACCATCACCCCTCTGCGCTGCGCTAACCAATACCAACTACATCAAACACAAATGCTCTCTTGAGTGAAGTTATATATTGAAGAACACGATTCTGACTGACATTAGCTAGCACCCCAGTACCCTACGATCTTTGCCCAAACCGTAAAAAGGATCCAAAGCTATTGGAGTTTGGTTAACGCTTCTTCTTGCTCGCCTTGGCAGCACTGGATGGGGAGCTCACAAGGTACACAAACAGGACAACGATGGAAATCACCGATATTAATGATCCATACTGAGCAAACAGCCTCTGCAGAATAGCAAGAAACAACCCGCAATGAGGAAATTTTTATATATGCTAGTACAAAATGAGAGCTTAAAAGACCTTTTGGATACAGTTTAGTCCAATCAAAAGGTTTGGAAAGGATTGCTTTAGACTGGCAGTGAAAGGATCAGCCCAATGCACCAACAATTTTGTTATGCCATTGCTATGGGATACAAAATGATGATCATACTTTCTTAAAGCATATTGGGAACAACTGCGAACATTGTACTTCACACCAGGGTGCACCTAAGAATTTTGCCTCCGTTGGAACCCTATTTTGGCTTATCGTACTTAGAATGACGAACAAAATAGGGAAAAAATGAGAAAATTTAATCGTACCTTAGCCTGAAAAATTTGCAAGAGCAAGGCGATTCCACAGAACAAGAAAACACAAAGTCAAGCATCAGTACACCAATAGCAGACACCTCAAGCAAAGAATAAAGAGTGATGAGATCTTATGTTACAGCGACATACCAAATCAAGCTTATTCTCAGGAGTTCTCTCTGCCAGAATGTCTAGCGGCATTATGGGGGTTGAAAGTGCCTCCTACAACCAATTAAAAGTCAGGATTAACTAAAATAGGCTAAGGAAACACAAGAGAAGACTACAATTAGGAACCAATGCACCAAGGCCTCACCTGCAAAGCAGCCTTGGTAGGGATGCGGAATTTAATGACAGCAGGGGCACTGTAGAACATGCCTTTCACCTTACCCTCAAGCTCAAAAGAATGTGACAGCAAACCACCTCTGATAAACACAGGTTCAAGAAGATGCATTACATTCCCGAAACAAAAACAAAAAAATAAATTGATCATAGTGTCAAGTTAAAAAGAACTCACGCGTCAAGTCTTTCCCACGATGTTGATAAGTTGCCACTCACAACATCAAACATATCTTGGGGCCAGTGATCATCAAGAAGACTCACATCATAAGCCGTCCTGTTAGGTTCAAAATGAGGAGAAAAGGAAAGAACCAACAAAATGAGAACAATATAATGTAGCAAGTGGACACAGATACGTAATAAACTGGTACTGCAAGAATCAAAATGAAGAAAGATTTCAGCAAACTTGTTATGTGTGATAGATAACACATGCAAGTTCAAATACAAAAAAAAAACATAACAACTTCCTTCAATGTAATTGCTGTCCCGGCAGACGGTAAACGATTACAAGTCACATGCATCAAGACAAGAAAAAGAAGCAGCCTTTCGAGCTCACTCGGATATGAATTACCATAAGCACTGTGCTAAGAGAACTTGAATGCCAAACTAGTAACGGAAGCAACTTACCATCAACATACATCCAGATAGCTCGAAAACTAAACTACTACATCAAGTAGCAACAAGTTTACTCTACAAAGCAGACTAAATAAGCATCAATTAATATATTCCCCACTGAAGAGAGGATTTCTTATTATTGGCACCTAACCAAGCAACAAAAACTCAGACGGAAGTGCGAAGAATCAATCCATTTCATTGCATGGGCCAGGAAAGATGAGGAAGTGAACCACCGGATTCAATTCCAACACTCTAGCTAATTCGAACAACCATTCAAATCGAGATCGACCGCAATTGAATTGAGTACGATAGTTTTGGATCTATATCATTCATAGATCTGGCCAGAGCAGTTTGAGAACTAAGTCGACGAGAACTGAATGAACGAAGGGTAAAAGGGAAGTGAAAACTCACGAGGATCCTTGATTGTAGATGTCGATGGAGACGGAGACGTGCTCGGCGCCTGATCTGAGCCTGTTGAGCGTTGCCTTCTTGTGGGCCACGATGAACGGGACGTCGGAGGCGGACAGCGCCGACGAGACGAAGAAGAGCAGGGCGAGTAGCACAGAGATCAGCGCCTTCGGCATCGGAATCGCCATGGATAGCAGCGGGGCGATGATTTCTGTGTAGATGAGGGGAAGGGGAGGAAATTTGCGGAATGGGGGAGATGGAGCTGAGTCGAGCTGAGACCGAATTCAAGTAGCATTTAGAGTCAACCACTCAAAACGAATCACGGGTCGGGTTCCGTCTCAAATGGACCGGAGGACAACTTTTAAGGCCCAATACCTCTGTAGAGACTCACTCTATTACCTCGTCGAGAGAGCCCAATCAAGAAGCCCAATATTAAAAGATATTTGTTCGAAAAATACACGCACATGCTGTCGACAAGAATTAGGGAGGGAAAAAGTGCAATAAAGATAAGGGCGCGTAGGCCCCTACTTTATTTCGCGCTGAAAATCAACCATACCTCAGAAGTCAGAAGAAACAAACCAATCCCTTTCCCGGTCGCCATTACTGCACTGTTACTTTTTCTCTTAGTTCCTACCACTGCTCCGTCGCAAGCATTTCACTTCTTTGTTCGCTTGTTGTAAATTTTCGTTGCGATTCGAATTTGCGATGGAGAAGGAGAAGTCGTCGCCTAGTCTGAAACCCTGCGAGTTCTGCAACTCCGCACCGGCGATTCTACACTGCGACTCCGATGCTGCGAACCTCTGCTTGCTCTGCGACCGACGGGTCCACTCCGCCAACGACGTCTCCATCAAGCATTTGCGAACCCCTCTCTGCCAAATCTGCGGGGACAGAATCGCCTCTTTTCGCCGGGATAAGGTTAACCTCGTGGCGTGCGAAGAATGTGACGAGCGGGAGAGTAGAGAAGAGGAAGAGGAGGGAATCGGGGGTGTTCCGTCGCGAATTCCGGTCAAAGGGTTCGCAGGCTGTCCTCCTTCGCTCGAAATCGCGGCCGCGTTTGGGGTCGACTCGAGATCTCGATTTCAGGGGGGTTCCGGCGGTAGTTCGAGGTGGGAAGTTTACAGGCAGCTGACGGAGTTGGAATCTGATGAATTGGAGGTGAGAGCTAAGAAGGAGCAGGAAGAGGAGGAAGAAGAATGGAGGGTATTGCGGGAGACGCCGTTCAGTTCTTTGCTGGCGTCGCCGGATCGAGTTGAGGATAAAGGAGAAAGCTTTTGGGTTGCTGATGGGGATCTTATGTGGAGCCATAATCCTGCTTTTGAAACTGCTCAGGTTTGTGCCATAATCCCTGAGTACTCTTCTTGTCTGGGCATTGTTATTGTTATCAGTATTCATTTGCTTAGGTAGATAAGAAAGCAATGGCTCTTCTTGATCGATTAAAGTTTAGGGTTTTGAGATTTAGGAACCTAATTCTGATTCTGGTAGTGTAAAATTGGTACCTTGGAGTGACTTCATCAGTTCATTGCCTAAGCCTTAACTAATTTGCTGGTTCAGATATTGGATTTCCAGCTTGGGGTTTCAGCAGGTTATGCTGTAAATGATCCTGATATCACAGTCGAGCATCACAGCAATCCAAATGAACAAGCCAATTCATTTGATGAGCCAGAAAACGCTCCGAATCACAAGGATTCTTCATCCAGAAATGTAAAGCCTTGAGCTTGCTTGTCTTAAGAAGTTATGAAGATGCAATCTGATTCAATCAAACAAAAATTTTATGTTCTGTGACAATTGTAGAGTTGTACTGACGAACCAACAAAAATGGAAGCATCTCTAGAATCCAAGGTTGTCGAAGAGGCTCAAACTTGTTGTGGGAATGAAGATTGGAACACTGAAGCTGCAGATTGGTTGAAGGCGAAAGTTGACTTTGCTCAGAATAGAGGGAATGCTATGTTGAGGTACAAGGAGAAGAAGAAGAATCGAAGGTAAAAGCTTTAAGCTTTATATTCTTTCTCCAATATCACTAGTTAAAGTTCATTTTATCTGGTGCTCTTCTGGGTTTTATGGAATGATTAGAACAAATGATATTGGAAAACAGGTATGAGAAGCGAATCCGGTATGAGTCGAGGAAAACTGGAGCTGAGTCAAGGAAGCGGGTTCAAGGTCGGTTTGTAAAGACTACTGATAAAAATTGAGAGTTTGCTGAACCAGTTAATGGTTCTGGTTCCATGGTAACTGTTCTTACCCTTTGATCCTTAAATCAAAAGCTCACTCTAGGGTTGTTTCTATAATGGACCGAAGGATAGGAAAGGAAAACAGCATTCAAGCAGGTGTATATAAGTGAGGACGAAATTGCTATATGATATTTTCCAATTTGTAAAGGCAGAAATCTATAGGGAATCCCATCCAGTCGGGACGGATCATGGATGGAGGGAGTGGGGGGTATAAGTATTGGGAATGGGGTGGGGGAAGGGCAGACAGGTTTGAGCTTTGGGATGTTTGAGATTTTAACATATCCCAAATCTTCTGCCTTCAATGTAAAGCATGGAGGAGAATAAATGTAACAGCTGCTGCAAGTATAATAGTAAAGTGGAGCCCAACTTTAATTTAAGCGCAAGTTGAGTGGCATTGCTATGCAGATCCCCATACCTTCTATTGTAAGATTTTGGCCTCGCCTTCATTTCCTACTATCTTTTGAAAGCACAAAACTATACTTCATAGTCACTTTGCCCTGTTAGTCCAAGGTCTGCAAAAGAAAACCCAGATGGCCAAATGTATAGATTCTTTAGTTATGAAAATTCTAATTGGATGCAATGGTCTGGCCTTTTCTGTAGTAATTAATGGGACATTTGTCATGCTGTGAACCAGGTTGTCCTGTCTTTCCCCTGACTAGCATGTTGCTTCTGGCACGTAGTGGCAGTAGTAGTAAATCCCAGTTTTAATTTTCTCTGGCCAGCCAGGGAAAAACAGGCAGATCCATTATATATTTATATGGCTGTCTGCCTGGGCTGAAGAGGAAGGTTCTTTCCAGCCTGCCAAGATCCATCTGCAGAAAAAATTCAACTTTTACTGTGTCATCTGTTGTTTATCATTGACGGTAGTGAATCCTTTCTCTATTAAGGAACGAATTGAGCAACCACCAAGTCACACCTCGTGTTGAAGAAAATGAAGTTGGGAGAGCTAAAGAAATAGAAATTGATGGAGATGCATGTTGTGGGCTGGAGTCAACAGCTAAGGAAAGGAAATGAGGAAGGACCACAAAGCTCAAGCCCCCATGTTCAGGTTCTATGCACTTCAAACCAAATATGGTACCATCTCCATGTTCACCCTATAAATTAAAGAGTAACTGAATACTCATAAAACAGGTGAGAAGGAGATTTCGGTCCATCACATGGGATTGTGATTTCTTTGGGGGAAGTAAAATAGCTAGCCATTGGAAGAAACCAACAAATAAGATTAGAATATTAGATTAGATATAGACATGGGAAATCAAAATTTAATTACCTTAAACTTTCTAAAAACCACGTGCATGGTTTCCGTGATCAAAGCCTCAAATGAAGTGCATTCATACTTTAGATTTAGTCGACCCTTGAGAGTGACTTGTACTGTAAACTTTTTTCAGAAGAATCCTTGTGTAAATAAACAATGGTGAGACTTCTCTGAGATTTACTCAGCTTCATGTGAGCTGCTTCTTGGCCCTTGAGCTTCCTTCCTATTCCCATATTCTCACTTTCTAATCTTTCTAGGGATAGAGGGGGAGAGAGTAGGAATTCCATAATGCCATCCTCAAAGCTTCATTTTGTTCCCCACTCTTCCTCTCCCCTCGCTGCCTCCACTCCAAGATTAATCATTTGATTGAATCTCAAATCAAGATCTCTCCTTTGTCTTTCCTTTACTCCCCCTTCTTTCGTCTCTTTCCATAGGATCACCTCAACTGTTTTCCCAACCCACTCTCTTGGCTCATTGCAGCAATCCGCACCACTCCAATCTTCCAAAGTTCGAAACTTTCTGCTTAAACAACACAGAACTTGATGGATTCATGTGTTAGTATAGGATGTTAAGTTGGAAAGCGAAACTGATAAAGGAAAGCAAAAATGGGATGCACTACTTCTGTGTATGCTATTGGAAAGAGGAAGAAGGCAAGTATACCAGAAACTGCGATACATGTTCCTTCTCTGAGAATTCCAGCTCAGTCTGATCTTCAGAGAGCTCTCAAAGGATTAGTCCCTAAAGATCTTATTGATCGATTAGCCGGTCTTCGAAGTCAGATTATATTGATAGCTGAGGATACAGGTATGGTCCATTTTCTAGTAACGCAGTAAGCTTTCATTCCCTCAATTACGTGCAGTAAAATGGAAATTTATGTTCTGCAGGTGGATCTGCTATGGTAGAATTGAAGAGAGGTTTGGATGACTACTTGTCTCTTCTCATTGGTCTAACTAGGAAAGGTGATTGATTGTTATTTTGGTTTGCTTCTCTCTGTTGGTCTTCTTGATAATAAGCTTAGCTGATTGGATTGAATTTTGTTCTTCAGAACATGGAATTGAAGACTTGGTTGAGTTCAGGTGGAAAAACTTAAAAGATGGCAGACAGGTAAATGGCCCAGGAAAGGGGGAAAAGCTTCCATCTTTGATCCCATTTTGTAGTTTCTCAAAACGATTAAAGACAGGAAACTCAAGAATTTCCTTGATTTGAACAGGAAGCTGGTGTATCAAACTGCTGGTTTGAATTGTTATCAGTTGTTCATATGATGGCAATGCTGACTTTGGCAGAGGCTAACTCATTGATGATCCCAAAGGATTATTCTGATTCAGGCATAAGGGTTGTTTCTTCAGGTTTCTTACTCTCCACCTGTTAGCAAATTCTTTCTTATGAAACCATAAAATTAAGAGATGATTGGGGTTTGACCATTTTACCACATATTCATCAGATTGTAAGAGGGAAGCTGTTGATTTACTGCTGAAGGCCTCAGGTTACCTGGAATTCTGTATTCATGAAGTATTGACTCATATACCACCAGAAATCAAGTATAAATTGAGTACTTCAACTTTTCCAGGCTTACTTTGAAGCCCCTGGCTGTTTTGGCTGACCCTTGTTTGGTACAGGACAAGTTTTCCTAAGGACTTGCAAGATGGTGTGCTGGATGCTATATCAATTCAAGCTTTAGGCCAGGTTAGTGATATCATAAACTTTCAATCCTTTTTTTATTTCTCCCAATTCTGAAAAACTGGTATTAAATGGATAAATTCAACATTTAGGGGACAGAAATCCAACTGGGTTTAGCTATTGAAAGCCAGAAGGCCACTTTATCAGTGAAAAGGAGGCTAGCATGCGAACAGCTGATCTACTTCAGTCAGGTTGACATATTCGTCCTCTTCCTTGTTTTACTATTTGGCACTCAAAAGTCAGCATCTTTTCAATTCTGTTGCTGTGATTGCTTCAGGCTTATCAGAGCTTGTCAGGATCTGACATGAGCGATGGCTATGGAAAGAAGCATCTCAGCTTCATCAAGTGGAAGTACCTTGAAGCGAAGGTCTGTCGTTGATTTACAAGCAACCCATTTCACTAAATCTCTAGCATGACTAGCTAAACATTTCCCTACTCGTTAAATTCCGATGATTGTCAACAGGCTGCAGCTTATTACTTTCATGGCCACATTCTTGACAAAGGGAGTGAACCGACCTGCCATGTCAGTGCAGTCTGCTGTTTCCTTGCTGCAGAAGGACTTCTCACTGAGAGCAAGAGAGCCTGCTTAAGCTTCTGCCTCTCAGCTCCCGTTAGCAGGTTTAGCCTACAGCATCTTAGCCATGGCCCATTATCCTTTAAGTTTGAAATTTCGAGTTCTGGGAATGAACTGAATTTGTTTAATCTTTTGTTGTGGGAAAAGATCTCCTCCGCCATGGGGAGCTATGAAGTATTTGTATCAGAAAATCCCTGAAATTGCTGCAAAGAAGTCTGAAATGTATGGCTACCTATTGGAGGAAGAAAAGTAAGTGTCTTTCATACTAATCTGATCTGGCTGGTATTGTCTGCAAGTGTTCTGATTCTGACATCTGAAAACATTGCAGGGCTCTACAGTCATTACCAGAGCTACCAGATTTCCAGCTCTCATTAAGGCCAGATGACTACGAACTCCCAGAAACCGACCAAGCTTGGGACAGTAAGAACTGGGAAATCCAGAGCCAAGCCTTGAAAGATCACCTCCAAGACAGTGAAGGAGAAGAAGAGAGCTGAAAGCAACAAAGGGTAAATAAAAAGAACCATACTTTTGAGGGACTTTGGATCCCAAAAACACTCTCTCTTTTGTTCCAATCTACTGTGTGAAAACATTACTCCTTACTCAATTCAACAATCCTCTTTGTTCTTATATGTATAGCTTGAGAAAGGATGGAAAACTATTACATACGGGCAAGTGTGATTACTGAATATTACTCAACCAGTGGACCAGACCTTTTGGTTTACATCATACACTGAAACTTTCCTATATATAATCCTGCACAAATCCACACGACCACACCCCATAAGCACTCACAATCTCTCAACTCTCTTTACCATAGAGTAAACCTTTAGTAGGGGGTTAAATATAGGGTAATGTGGGTTTTTAGTGAGGAGAAGAAGAGGCTGCTAGTTTGCTGGCACAGACAAAGGTGAGAGCCAAGTAAGTGCAAAGAACCATGTAAGACAAGACAACCGAAGCCAACATTTTGTGGCAGAAGTTAGGAACATTCTCACAGAAGGACATCCATCCAATCTCTTCTATCCCATCGTAGCCCACAAGTCCTATAGCTGTTGCTGCTCCACACGCAGCAGTCATTAGCCCCATCATCACCTGCATTGTTTTTTGTTTTTTTTTTACAATGTTATCATCGTATAATGACAGACATCATAAGCTAAACACAAACTTCGATCGTTTGGATGAAGATGGTTCCACTTGGGAATGTTTCTGTGCTAGGTATATGTACTTTACCAGCTTGTTACCCAACTTAGAGCTCTAACAATAAAGAATTACAGTATGCAACTCAACTGAACCCACAGCACTTTGATGAAGGTGAAAAATGATAGTAAGGAAGGAACAAAAGCAGTGTTGGGTAACCATGAGGGATGGAGTAAATGCTGTTCAACGGTATTTTGAAAATTCATCCTCTGCAAGTTTGGTGCCTGAAATCTAGATGGCACATTCAATAGGACATTACTTTTTGGCAGGGTGCTCATAAATGTTCGCCATATACCCTACTCAAATTAGATCCAGTATAAAGTCATGGGCAGTGACCCAAAATGATAGGATTCCACTTAATTTGGCAAATGGGATAGTGATCTTAATCACTTTCACACATGATCATTATGAATCCTACTACTACTCATGAAATGATATTTAACCATTATGATTACACCAAAACTCGCTTGCTCTAAAGCTATATGTACATTCATTCATCATCACTAGATTAACCTATAGCCTCTGTGATTCAGCCTAAATTCATTCGGTCGGATCCGGTTATCATCAGAATAGCCCATTTAACCTCTCATTAATTAGTTCATTACCAGGAATCCAAAACACCTGACCCCGATCCCTTTGCTTCCTCCACTGGGCCACGGTAGTAAAGACAGAAACTTTACGAGAGAAAGAGAGAGTTTTACCATTTCATGCAGTAAGAGGTAGAAAAGGTTGAGAGGCGACTGAGCTGCAGAGGAGCTGCTCTTTCCCAGCTGTGGCAAGATAAAGAACAGGGACACCACTGAGAACCCGCAGACTATTCCATTCGCAGCCACCAAAAACCTGCCACAAAAACTGTTTTAGTACCTCCCTCCCATTATGCAACAAGTATGGCCACGTAAACTATCACGCAGAGCAATTACGATTTGATTCTGTAAGTAAATCAACCCATACAACCAACAATACAGTACAATTTTTTGTCCTTTAGCAAAGAAAGGACTTATCCGTTCCATGAAGTTGTAACGGTTGCCACATTTTCGTTATAGAAACAGGACAAGACAGAGACAGCCAAAAAAAGGAAGAGAACAAAAAACAGGGGAAGAGAAGAGAATAGCCAGAGTAATCGCCATTTCCGAGGCAGTGTTTCCAGAAAAGCATTTTTAACGGAACTATTACGACCAGCAATGGCCATAGCTGTAGCTGAGCTACTAAGAAGGATATAGTAAGCCATGAAGAACTCAACTTGAAAGCAGTGGAGTAGGTGAAGCGAGCGGAGAAGGGGATCCCATAAACGAGGACGTTCTGGTTGCTGGTGACCATGACGCAGATTGCAGAGGCCGTGAAGGCTATGGCTAAGATCTTGAGCGCAGTCAGCTGAGCCACTAATCGATTCCACATCTCGTGCTGCTGCTGGCCTCTTGATGCTGCCGTTGATGATGGCTTCCCTGCCTCCATTGTAGAACCAGAGCAGAGTTTTCTTTTTTATTTTCCCTTGTAGGAGAGTGATGGTTAGTTTTGGAATTGAATGGAGAGGGTGACAGAGGGAGATATAGAGAGATGATCTGGTATTTATGGTGGGGGGCTGATATTGATTGGGTAGAGAGTATAGACTAGTACCGAATTGCATTCATTCATCGAGGTGACAGCCAAGTCTTAAATTGTTTTCCAACAAGTTTGAATTCCAGACGCAAAGCTACTCTAATCAGTCTTGAGTCTCTTGACGAGTTTGCCTATTGGGCAGGGGCGGAGCTACATTGGCCCTAAGGGGGGCCCCGGCCCCCCCGAGAATCTCGAACTTACGTGTAAACGGTTTAGGATAATACGTATAAACAAGAAAGTATTTAATAAAAAGACAAAGCGTGCAGATTATAACATGAAATTTGAGTTAGCCTAGTGGAATTGGCAATTTAGAAGGACCAAATGGTCACGGGTTCAATTCTTGAGGTGAGCATATATTTTATTTTTTTGCCTTTTTGGTAAGCAGTAGTCCTCTCCTTTCTTTTTTGGAAGCTAGTTATTAGCTAATTCGACTATTGTCATTATATTTTTTTATGATTTGTAGTGAACTCAATGTGAAAAAGTTTTGAGTTTTAATTATAATAATATGTTTTTAAAATAATTTTTATTACTAGTTTTTCCTTTTTTGTTGTAACGTATTAAGAAAATTCCGGCCCCCCCGATGATTAAATCCTAGATCCGCCCCTGCTATTGGGGATGGGCTTGCCTTCCAATTCCAATCTTTTTACCCTTTTTACTGTACAGTTAGGGTGTACGTTATTCATTCTGGATCGAACCATACTCACAGTGAAACACATTTTATAACTAAGGTCCAATTTAGTCTATTTTGGTCTGGCCAAAATGTCGGTTCGGCCCATTTTGTCTTTGTATTTATAAAATTCATAGGAATCAATGATCGAACAATGTTAGTTTAATATAGTACGGTCCAAGCGTCAGTTTGGTCGGGTGTGGTCCGGTAGGGACCAACCCATTGCACAACCCTAACAGTAATTGTTAGAAATGAGTCAATGACTCATAAAGAGGCGAATATTCAATTCAAGAGTATTTAGGCCTGAAAGTGGTGGAATTATCTGTTAGTATGTGGTGTAAGATTCATAATTGAATCTCTCCTGACAACTCAAGTTATTGAGACCAAATGGTTGTTAACATGATATTCGATCCTTCTTCTGAAATCGAGAGGTCCTCTATTTCAATCCGGGTGCAATGGTGTTTGATGTCTGTGCAAACTTCAAGCTCATTTGAGTAGTCTTTCTTTTAACGGGGCATGTTAGTCTTTCTGTCTTCGGGCTGCATCTTCGTCGCCTGCGTGATTTCCTTTTCTGTTTTTTTTGCTTTCTGTCTTTCTGTTATTCTTTTTTTCTTTTCGACTCTGTCGGGATGTTCTGAGTTCAGGTCTTCTGAACTTTTTTTGTTCTTAATAATATCGCCATTATCAAAAAAAGATCTATTATTAAAATCTCCCATCAATTCAAATTATTGAAACCAACTGTTTCTTCACATTATCATGGTTCTATTTGACATTTTTTGTACAAAGAATTTGATAATAATTTCTAAAAATTTAGTGATCGGATTATAGTATAGTATATAATTTAGTTGTATGAATTTGAAACCATGCACCACCATCTACTTATTGTATTAATCACGTCTATTTCACTATTTGAGTAATTTATCTTTGCGCCAACTTCGATGTATATGTCAAAAATATTGTTTGAGGTTAATTGCGTGAGTTCGTTATAAGTTAATAGGAGACCGTACAAGGAGTTCACAATTATGGGTGCCAAAAATTACTTGACTTACCCATTTTTGCATGGCTAGCCCTTAGGGAGTTGAGATGGTAAACATACACAAAGGTAAAAATGTTATTTTGCACGTGAAGAATATTCATTTTCCCTATCTAATTCATCTAATTGTTAGAAATTCTCATAGGTTTTACAGCAAGACCCAAAAAAATTGTTAAATTTTGACGAAATTGAGAGTCCTTTTTATCTTATGAAATATATGATCATCAGAAATTAAAAGGGGGTAGCATGAGATTGGCAGAAGAGAGAAAAAAGAAGTAGATAAAATCCACAAGCAATATAAATCCAGTTAGAGAGACAAAAAGGCAATAGAGAAAGGTTGAGCCACCACGTATATGTGCAGTACTGCATATGAAAGGGAGTTGGGGGTCCTGAAAACGATATGAAAGTTGGGATCCCCTTGCAATTGTAGGACTCCAAATGCATGCATGCATATATTTGGTACTCCGATTAGGATGGCCCAACCAATGGTCGGTTTGCAATTGGTTCTCTCTTCAATTCGTTGAGGAGGTTGTCCATATCCTATTACCCACAACACAACATTAACATATGAGATCGAACATGCAACTTCTTTCGTTAAAGCTGGCAGTTGGAGCATCAACATATGTAATTGTTACCACCCTATTATACGCCCCATGCATTAAATTTTGGGTATGGCTATATATCTCTGTTACATTAGGGATGAAACAGCCATGTGGCTTACTTAATACTCCATGCATGCATGTCATCTTTCGCAGAGATAAATATGGATGATGATCCAACGATGATTAATAAGTTAATGTTTAGTGTCCATAATGCTTCGTTGATGGAATTAATTATAAACGGATCCATTCTATCTTTCTCTAAGTATGTGTTTCGCATTCTCTATTAATTCTTTCTTTAGCCACTTAGAGGATATCTTTAAAACAAGGTTATCAATTAGAGATAGAATTTTTCCTTTTGACACTCGGACGGAAGAAATGTATAAAGGGTTTAATGAGGTGGTCTTATATGTAGCCACCTAATAACCACAAGATGTCAAGATGAATATGTTTTGTGATTTTATTTGGGCGAAAAATGTGTTAAACTACATAATTTTTTAGACTACTAATTCATCGTGTTATCGCTTTCAAGACCTCTAGATGTAGGCTTAGACATTTATGAATCGGTAGGTTATTTGCAATTGAACATCGAATGACAAGAATTGCTTTGATATAAAAGATTAACTGGTTTAATGTTGTTGTCCAAATAAACTTAGTCATTATGAGAGACAGAAGGTTAAAAGCTTAGTAATTACCATTGTAATTTTTTCGTACTTGTAATTTGTTTCATTCTTCCGTCACCCTCCATCTCCCTTTCTTTATTTCTAAATTTGCCCCGTACACCGAGCCTACGACAAAGCCGGCAAATGTATCATAATGTACACAGAAAGAAAGCCCCGACAATGTCCGCAGAGAAGAGAAAAGAGAAAGAAGCAAATGTAACCAAAAACCAGCTAGTTGGATGAGAGGATCCAAACAGGCAATGGCGAGATGAGCAAAGGGTTAACATGTAGAGAAAGGGTAGAATACAAGGGCTCAACGGCACGGGTGGTGAGGCTGTAAACGCCCATATCATGACCTCCTAGCTTGTACCTGTGGTGCCAGTCGATAACATCATCAGTGAAATAAATGGAATTCGGAACCAGTTCCGGGTGATCGAAACGGAGATCGAAGGCAGAGTTGAACCCCACGAAAACGGCAAAATCCCCGATGCTTGCAACCTCATCCCATCCCATCCCTTCCTATCCTCATCCTCCCGCTTGTATGTATCTAGTCACCATCATCAGTCGATCACCACCTCCGTCTGGGCTCGGGACCAAGTATGGAGGTTCGGAGTTGACTAAATCCCTATGGGCCAAATTAAGATGGAATTAGAGGCACTTCCAGTTAGCAGGGTAGTTAGTTAGCCCGGCCACGGCCTAAGTTGAGGAAGAAAAATAAGGACCAAATTTTTTCCAATTGGGCCTTTCGTAGTTTATTGAGGTATAGCTCACGTGGGCCAAATGCCCCAGGCCCTCTCCACGTTCATTTCTATACACGTAACTTTAAAATTCATGATGGGTCGGGCCGCCTCGAAACCAACTGTAGCTTAGCCGACGGAGATAGCTAATCCGTCCCGACATTGCACTGCACGTCGATAAACACTAGGAGGCAGTAGTGTGTTTCCAATTCCACCACACACATTTGATAGGCATATATTATTTTGTTGCATGTAATTAGTTCTTAATCAAGATTATTGAACTAACTATGGTAAATTAATATATTGAAGCTCGATCATTGACTCATTTGCTTGTCTTTTTCCTAATTTCACCGTACGGTCATAGGCCAAATGCCTAAACAGCGGCGGATCCAGAATATAAGAGAGCACTAGGACGCATTTGAATAGAATATTAAATACCATAAACAAAAATATATAATAATATAGTTTTAATGCAAATTGTACAAGAAGGTCTTTTAATTTAGCAAATTTATCAATAATATAATCTCCATCCATACTGAAAATATACTCTTTTTCGAAGAAAATAGCTAAGAAATCAACGGGAAATTCATCACTCATTTTGTTGCACAAATCAATGTTCATGTTCCATTGCTGAAAATATTCTCTCCATGGTAGTTGTTGAAACGGCTAGGTCAACACTAGACAAATCAACCGACAAATCAATTTGTATTATGTGACCATCCATGTTTCCTCCAGCTTCTCTACTAATTTTGCAAGAGAAGAAACTTCATCTTCCTCACATGAGTAGTGCATTCTTCAAAGAATGCATCTCATAGCCTTCAAAGTCTTGAGGCTAAACTCTTGAGCAAGTTTGTAAATATTTTCTTCATCAAAACACCAGAAAGAACATTAGAATCTAGTGCCCCACTAAATTGAGGCAATCTAAATGATGACTCAGCAAGTTTGTAAACATTTTCTTAATCAAAAGAATGGAAAGAAAACCAGCTCGACGGGCTAGCGGAGAAATTCATTTGGGTCTGCTCGTCTCCTCGTTCTTGTTTAGTTTTGGGGGGATGGAGAATTTTTTTGAATTTTTCAAGGAAGGGTGTGCTTTAGTTTAGAGTTTTTATTTTATTTTAATGAAACTTTACACTTTTTTCATGTTTTTTTCAAATAAAATCATTGGGGTTATAGAAAATTTAGTATAAATTTAGAGTAATGGTTTGGATATGTTCATTTGAACCATTTTTCTAGTTACACAAAATCCTATTATCAAATAAAACTAGACATGATTTTAAATAACACTGGGCCAAATACCTAAATCGAAAAAATTTATAAGCACTAAACTAACTATGGATCCGAAAGAGGACTGGGCCGGGGCCTGGGTTGGCCTAGCCCTGGATCCGCCACTGTGCCTAAATCATGTTGGTTTAATTAATGTATGATTACGAAGATCTTTAACAACATTCATACGTTGTTTGACTCTCTTTTTTCTCCTTGATGATATCATTAATATTATAAAATTAACGAAAACGGGGTAAATGATATTTCTAGTCCCTACTAGATGTCAAGCCTCTAAAACACTCTCAGGATGGAGTTATTTATGTCACTTACTATATATCCTAGACTAAAATTCTATTTTATCCACTTAAATCGTCTCTAGAAGACTAGAACCCGTATTTTCAAAAATAAAATAAAACCAACACTTGTGATTTATTAACACGAGCCGGTAGAGGATTAAATTGGTTTAACTTAGCTATGCGTAGGGTTGTCCTTAACTTTTTTTTTTTTTTTTATGGTCTAAATTCTAATATGAATCTGTTAAGTTAGGTGATTATAGTAAGTGATCATCTCAGTCGCATGCATGTAACCAACTTGCTGGAAACAATGAGAAAATCCGCCGGCAAAACCCCATTACACGCATAAAACGTCGACGGTATCTATGTAAAGCCGGCAAAGGGAATACAATACGGCACCCACCAACGAACTCCTAATTAATTGGCATTTTAGTACCCATAAATCCATCAAATGGCTCTATCTATCTAGGCCGGCAGATATTTATTCATCTTCCACGTGTAGCTGCTACCCTATTTCATTTCACACTCGTTCCGTAACTTGGGATCCATATATTTTCGAGTTTTAGAATGACAAGCAACGCTAGCTAGCTGTTTATCATTAAGCTAAACGTACGTACATTTCATACTGATCACGTCACGTGTATGTGAGTACGTCGAGTTTGTTACTCTAGATCGTATCCAACTACCAGTTTAGTTCGGCAAGCAAGCAACGCAAGTCTAATTCTTACTCCAATGTGATCGACCTTTCCATGGTGATAGCTTTGTTTCTGTATAGTTCCTATCTAGAGTCTAGACTCTAATTGAACTAAGTAGCTAGTAAGTAATGCGAGCGAGCATGTTTTGCTGGACCAGTTTCGGCTACAGATCGAGTCAAACCTTTGCGATTAGAATATTCTCCTGAGAGCTATAGGTCAAGGAAAATGGATGTAGGCGTTCGAAGAGCGAAAACCCGTTCATCTTAACGCACATCCTACGTTTCTTAATATGGTATATATTAATTTAGTTATGTTTCTTGAAATTTTCTCAACATTTCCCCTCAAAATTAGATATGTTATAGTCCCCACTCGTTTAAACATAAAAAACGTTCAAATTTAAAATCATCCGCCTTTGCAATTATATATGTCTCCTCTATATGAAGTAACTTTACTATCCGCCATGCTAGTTAAGACAATAACAAAAATGTTCATTAAGAGTGATTGAATGTGCAAGTCACTAATGCAGCAAATAATGTGCAACAATCAGTTGGTCCTAGCTAATAACGAATTATATACCACATACTAACACGTCCTTTAAACGAAATCCTACACATATGAGCTTGAAGTTTACACAGGCATCAGAGACCATGTGTTTACCAATGGTGCTCACCAAGATCCGAATAAAAGACATCTCAGTCACAGAAGGTTTTGATCGACTGATACCATGTAAAAAACGAGTTGGTTCCAAGCAGAGTAGTCAAAATCCTGATTTAAATCCTAAAATCCTACGATTTTACGAACCTATTCCGATTATGATTTCACTATAAAATGAAAATCTATGGACCTTATAATCCTACACTATTCACGGTTTAAATCTTTAAAATCTTACAATTTTACGATTCAAATCTTTGAGTTACTTATTTCCCCCCAAAATTTGTATAATTACGCCTCTTTTCCTTCTCATCCACCAACATCATCTAGTTCTCTCAAACTAACCACTATCGACCATCATCAATTTACATCATCGTATTAATCACCATTGATTCACCACCTCTTAACATTAACCTTGATAAATTGGAACATTAACCTTGAGAAATTATCATTGTAAGTGTTATGCATTTTTGTGTTATTCGTGATTTTCCTTATTAATATTATTTCATCTTTGTTTTTGTATGGACTTTAACATTCTACGATTTTACTATTCTGATTTTACCTTCATTTTCGATGTTACTTAAAATCCCGATTTTGACTGCTTTGGTTCTAAGAATTCGAGTTGTTGAGAGATTCAATAATAGTTCTTATACCACATACTTATACGTCCCCTCAAACGAAAGTCACACATATGGATTTGACTCTTGCACATGTCGAGAATATCATGTACTTAGGGTTGTTAATGAGCCGAGCCGAGCCGAGTCGAGCTTTCCCTTGTTCATGTTCGGCTCGTTTATAAACGAGTGGAGTCGAGTCGAACACGAGCCATCTCATTTATTAAATCTTGATACATCATTAGGATCAAAAGTTCGGCTCGAACTCAATTCTAATATAATTTATAATATAAGTACCTTAATATTTATATGTCATATGTGATACATGTGTTAACCTAATGTTATGTAATATATGAGACGTATTTGCTTGCTGATACATATACTCAATGTATTAAACACTATATGAGGTGATATATACAAATTAATAATTATATGCATCATTAAAAAACCAACTCATAAAATATAGATTGATTTTCTCATAAGCTGTAGTCGAGTTGGCTCTCTAGTAACCATGTTGGAACATCTAATAAACTCAAAACGAGACAGTTCATGAGTTGTATTCAACAAGCGGACAAGGTAGAGCTCAAGCTTGACTTTTTTTTAATCAAACGAGCTTTTATCGAGTTCAAAACCGAGCCGCTCACGAATAGCTCGACTCATTAACAACCCTACTTGTATTTAACAAATTGGGTCACCTAGATTCAAACAAAAAACTGTTTGATCACAAAAGACTCAAATACCATTTCAAAAACAAATTTGTCTTAATAACTCGAGTTATTGAAAGAGGTTACATAATACATATTATCGCATCCTATAAAATTTGATAAATGTTATTAATTATCCTCATCCTGACACTCTCTGATCCTTGACATTGCAAATGTTATGTAGCTCATATTTTATATTTTGTAAGGTTTTAAGTTGAAGCTTAAGTGATGATAATTTTAGATTTGTTGATTTATCTGTTTCCATTTCTTAGTGGAATGTAAATTATGAGTATATTTCAATTAAAAAAACCCCTTCTGTATTAGCTAAGAAAAGAGAGAAAGTTAAAAACATTTTCATTACCAAGACGGCAAGACCAAACCCGCCATTAACATCCCATCATCCAGCCTGCTTTACAAATCTCTTCAAATACCGCTCCCACCATCCAGCATTCCAGCCCTGAGAATTAACCGCTTCCCCTCTCCTCCCTCCCTCCCTCCCTCCTTACTTTTTATCATCAACCATGGCGGCAACAACCGCCGGAGCTCGCTTCTCCTTCTCTCCGGTGATCCGTTGCTGCGCCGCGACGCCGGCTCCGGCAGACAAGTTGAAGCTGAATCCAGTCCAGCTACCCACCCGCCGCCTCTTCGCCGTCTCCTCTCAGCAGGTATCCACCTCCGCCGGCGAAGTGGTAAGCTTTCCTCTCCCGGCCCAGGGAGAGGGAATTGGAACTGAATCACTAGATGCGACGGCGACAGCTAATCAGGGGAAGGAAGATGAGCAGATCGACAACCCCTACGCTGCTGCTGTTCGGACGCCGCAAGAAGCAATGCAGCTGGGGAAGACGGTGAAGGATTACTTCGTGGAGGCCAAGGGTTTGATTCAATCGACGGCTAGCGACGGTGGTGGTCATCATCCGCACTGGATTTCGCCGGCGGAGGACGGCTGTGGCTCTCCGACGGCCGATTCTCCTCTCTTCCTGTATCTCCCTGGTCAGTTGTTAATCACTTCGGATTGCTTTCCTTTCTTCCCAATTTCCGTTTCTCCTTTCTGCTTTTAGGAATGATTCCTAGAGCTGGAAAGGTTCCAATCATAGAGCTTCCCCTTTTTTCCTGGTTGGTGCCTGGTGGTGGCAAATTACCACCTCACTACCCGACCCAAATTGGAATTGATTCATTTTGGATATGAATTTTGAATTCCCAGGAATTGATGGCGTCGGCCTGGGACTTATTAGGCAGCACCATAATCTCTGCAAGTAAGCTTCCATACCCCAATCCGCCATTTTTGCCACTAGTTTGTCTTTACTTCCTCGGATGACTGATTTTTTCCACCATCGGAATTTGTAGACTGTTCAATGTTTCATGCTTGCATATTCCGGCCAAGGATAGGACGTCGCTCAGAGGTTAGCTTCCATGAATTAACTTCTTGATGGTGAAGATGAACTGAGAACTAATGGGAATTTGTGGAAAATGTTGAGCAGGACTGGTACAGTTAGTTGAGAAAACTGTTAGAGCAGAATATGGCCGTTCGCCAAGAAGACCCATTTACATCTGTGGAGAATCTCTTGGAGCTTGCATTGCACTAGCTGTGGCAGCTCGGAATCCTGGGATTGATCTTGTGCTTATACTGGCTAATCCAGGTGAGTACCCTGCATCGAAACGGTTGCATTAGTAGCTACCTACTGCTTAATTAACTCTATTGAATGTTCCATTTCTGGTCCGAATGCCAGGAACTTCATTTGAGAAGTCACAGCTGCAATCCCTGATGCCGCTCTTGGATCTCTTGCCTGACAACTTTCACCTCAATGTCCCGATTATGCTCGGCTTGATGACGGGTTCGCTTGTATTAATCCTCGTACTTTGCATTTTCTCCCACCTTTGCTCGTTGTTGATGAAGCCTGCAATCTGTGGAAGTTGAAGTTAGAAGTACTGTTTTTGTTAGGCTTGCATTCACTATTGTTTACTGCCAATTGATAAGAGCAATGTGGTTTTGATATAATTCAGGCGATCCTGTGAAGACATTCATGGATAATTTAGTCAGAGGACTCCCTCTGCCACAAGCAACTGGAGGGCTTACAGTGGATGTTCTTGCTATGTCGTCTCACCTCTCTGTAAGCATAGTTGTAAAGATAAGTACTTTTTATCCGTAGGCACCATCACAAGTTCTCTATCTGATGTAATGCCTCCTCTATTTCATAGATTCTCTCTGAAATTTTACCAAAGGAGACACTTCTGTGGAAGTTACAGTTGCTCGAAACTGCTTCATCCTATGCCAATGCACGCCTTCGAGCTGTAAAGGCTCAAATCCTGATCCTCTCTAGGTTTGTATCTCTGGCAAACTCAAATGCAGAGATAAAGTTGCATTCTTTTTGCATCCATTTCCATCATTTTAGTTGCTTTAAGAACTCCTGTACGGTTAGGGCTACTATGTAATTAATGCCTCTGTTTTGATTGGGTTTCAGTGGAAAGGATCAGCTGCTTCCAAGCAACGAGGAAAGCCAAAGACTACGTGCAGCATTGCCAAAAAGTGTTATAAGAACATTTGATGACAATGGCCATTTCCTTTTCTTGGTAGCTACTCTCTCTATCTATCTGGAATGCGCAGTTCAATTGTCATATATGCATGATAAAATCTTCATAATTTGCAGGAAGATGGTGTAGATCTGGTGACAACCCTCAAGGGTTCACTATTCTACCGTCGTCGTAAACACCGTGATTTCGTGACTGATTACATACCACCAACTCCTCTTGAATTCAAGAACATAGACGCAAAATACAGGTAACCGAGTACTCATCCCTTCTCAAGCATACATAATGTAGCTATGCTAAAGATTAAGATATAAGAGATGAACCGAATCCTGTTGATGATGTTTTCAGAGAGCTGGAGGTTGCTACGAGCCCCGTGATGTTCTCAACTTTACAAGACGGGACAATCGTGAAGGGACTTTCAGGAATTCCTTCAGAAGGACCAGTGTTGATAGTCGGATACCACATGTTACTCGGAGTTGAACTATCCCCAATGGTAACCCGAATCTTGAAGGAACGGAACATTCTGGTCAGAGGAATAGCTCATCCTATGATGTTCTCGAGAGTGAAGGAAGGGAGGATGCCTCCTTTATCATCTTTCGATGATTTCAGAGTGATGGGCGCAGTTCCTGTCTCTGGTCCTGTTTTGTTCAAGCTCCTCTCTTCCAGGGCTCATGTGCTGTTGTACCCTGGAGGCATGCGGGAAGCCTGTCACAGAAAGGTATCTCCTTTTTCATGATGATGAAAGTGATTCAGTTGTAGATGGGTTATGGCTTTTGAATGAGGTGTGAGTCTATTAATGGCTTTGTTTTTGGTAGGGCGAGGAGTATCAATTGCATTGGCCAGAACAGTCCGAGTTTGTGAGAATGGCAGCTAGATTTGGAGCTAAGATAGTGCCGTTTGGTGTTGTTGGAGAGGATGACTACGGTGAAGTAAGTGTCTCGTGTACCCTCAACATTATTTGGCTTCAGTTCATGCTTCACTGTTTACAAAGCAACGTGGTGCCATGGATGCTCAAGTTCTTACAACCGGTGACTATTTTTCGAATGTGGTTCCAGGTGGTGTTCGATTACGAAGATCAAATGAAGATTCCATTCTTCCGTTATATCATAGAAAGCACAACGGAGGAGATACCTCAAGTGAGGTAAAACATGGATAGATTTGGTTTCCTACTCTTGCCTTAGAGCTTAGCCTTATTAATAGGCAAGTCTGTATTGAGGGTATTTTTCAAATGAATGAATGACAGGACTGACGCAGGGGGAGAGCTAGCACTGCAAGGAGTGCACTTTCCAGTGTTCAGACCGAAGCTCCCCGGCAGGTTCTATTACCTCTTCGGGAAGCCAATCGAAACCCAAGGTGATGAAAAGCACTAACTAATCGCAAGAGAATCTATGATGATCCTCACGCCTAGAGAAGAGCATTCATAAATTAATCGCAATGGCATGACGAAATTTTGTGGTATTTGGTGCATGCAGGAAGGGAAGAAGAGCTGAGCAAGGACAGGGAGAAAGCTAACGAGGTGTACATGGAAGTGAAGCAAGAAGTGTATAATTGCATAGATTACTTGAAAGAGAAGAGAGAAAGCGATCCTTACAGGAACGTGGTGGCTCGCATGGCTTACCAAGCCATCCATGGCCTTGATGCTCCCGTCCCGACGTTCGAGCTCTGATGCTCCCCAATCGGCGATCATTGATGCGATTGTCCGGTTCCGGCCGGTGAAGGGAAAAGTGATTGGCTTGGTTGATATGCATGATGATATTATTGATTTACGCACAAAAAACCACACACACACGATAGTTTAAGAAGAAATGTGGGAGAAGCAGAGAATATAATTGTATTGATGTGATTAGTCCATGCAGAAAAGGAAGGAACCAAAAAATGTATGACTAGATTTATCCAGCATAATGTATACTGCAATACACACAATTGTAATTGGGAAAGCATTGTGGATTTATTAATTTCCCAATAGCCACGTGTCAATCACCCAATCATTGAAGTAAAAAGAAAATGTTGGAAAGAAAAAGGCGCAAAAAGCTTCAGGTTGTCAACCCACGGGTTGACCCACGGGTCGACCCAATTTGACTCTGACCCGGTGAGAAAAACGGGCCGTACACACCCGTGGGCCGACCGCTATAAGGTACGGGGTTGGAGGTCAAATTGTGTCATTTTTTCTTTAGTTTGCGAAATGCACCTATTTTCCAATTTTTCTTTTCGCCTAACTCAATCTTTGGAATACTAAGTTGAACATTTGAATATTTATGTTATATAAGTGTGTGCGAATTTTCACTATATGTTGGATCTAAGTACGATATGTTATTTTAGTATAATATTATATGTTATAACTCATATGTTAGATAAGATTTGATATAATTTATGAGGATAAGTACAATATAATGACTCTTTCTACATTTCCGGGCCAAACCGGACTAAAACGATTGACCCTTTAACCCTTGACCCACTAGCTCGACAGGGTCCGGGTCAACCCGCGGGTTGACAACCTTGGCTTCATCCATGCCAATTCTTATATTTCTGAACCCTGGAAGGGTTTGAGTGGGCCGGGTTGGTTTGACCGTAAGTGGGCCAGAAGCCCATCACTCTCTCTGTATTACAAAGTTGCTTTTGAATTGATGATAATCCAATTCAATATGGAAAAGTTCTAGCGGGACAAAACACCTGAGTAAAAATTTTCATATATTTTTTTCTTTCATTTACATCATTTGGAATGATGTTTATTCACGTAATACTATTTGTATTTACTTAAGAGTGTAAGTTATTCATATAAATCGAAATTCAGACATTTTCTCCTAATAATTTGTGTTGGCTATAGTTTATTGAATTACATTTGGACTCTCAATTTATCTGTCGACATGTATTGCATTGATCAGAATCTACACAATGATATTCATTTTGATATATTTCAAAGTTTAAAATTTGATTTTACAACGACGTGAATGAATAATAATATGCATGAATAAATATCATGTGCAAAATAATCAATATTTTTATGTGAATAACGCAAATATGACATGAATAAGCTGAAATTTATGTTAATAAATAAAAAAAAGCGTAAATTAGATGTTTTTATCTCTAGGAGATGACAAGAGACTTAGATTGTTTCAATATTTTGCGGTTTATGGTAGGCGTGTGAGAATGAGGAGTTGGGGTTGAGGCCAACAGCTGGCCTGCTGCCCGCCTTGTTCAGGTTAGCTCCCTTCTCTGCCCGCATGCAGCAGCAGCAGCGACAAACAAACTCTGCAAATACCCCAGCCAGCCAGCCGCCTCCCTCTCTCTCTCTCTCTCTCTCTCTCTCTCTCTCTATGGGTCCGGACTTGTGAGCAGAATCTCAGTAAATCAAAACCATCGATCACTGCCAGGCCAGTTGGATCGCCTCAACTTTTTGGTAGACGAAGTATGAAATATACCAAGCCGTGAAATCGCCACTTTTCTGGTCCAGAGATTAAGCAGGGAATAAAAAGATATATGGCCAGTGCAGACCTTAGCTAGTTAGCTTGTAGCTACTAGAATTCATATTAATCAGCAGATTGTAATTGATCATTGCTTAAATGTAATCATAATTAGTCGTCCCATTACTAGGAAATTAATGAAGCAGAGAATTTTGATGCATGGTAAGTAATCGCAAGGTGGTGAGAATATTGTTTTGTTGATCTCTCTACATAATATTGTATGACTCTGAATCAAGCTGAAATTGATGCCCAACACAACAAAACAGAACAGAACAAAACAAAACAAAACGCAGTGTCTCTATTTCTCTCTCAATCTCTCCAGAGTGAAGAGAGCTACCAACTTACTTAATCAGAACCTAGCTAGGTAGCTAATTATTACAAAGGGAGGGGGAGAAATTTGAAGCTCCTCAGAGTAACATGTAAACATTAAAACCAAGTTGAAGTAGGTAAGGTAGAAAGAGATGATGATGAGGTGTAGGTAGGTTGTTGAATCATCAGAGGCGGAGAGTGAGATCAACGGTAGTGGCAAAATCCTGAGCATCAGCGTGGTGGTCGTGGTCATGAGGTGGAAGATGGTAATTAATGGCGCTGTAATAGGGGGCAAAGGCGGCGGAGGAGGAGGAGTCCGGATTCATGGGAGCTCCGGTTGATGAAGAAGAAGGAGGTGGTGGGCCCACCACTACGAACTCGTCGACATTGTCCAACATACGGCCACCAGGAATATTGGTGCTGCTGTAATTAGTGGGATCGCCGCCGCCGCCGTAAGGCCAGTTAGCACCAGCTACCACCACCGGACTATGATACCGCTGCTGCTGCATGACCTGCACTACAGGAAAATGCACCTGTACCTAGGGTAAAAACGGTAGTTAATAGTCACAAAACGGTAGTTAATACTTTTGACTACGGTAAAAATACGGCGGTTAACTTGGCCGTAGGTAAAAGTCAAAACGGTAGTTAAAAGTGACTATTGACTACCGTTTTTGTACGGTAGTTAAAAATAATGGCTACGGTAAATATAACGGTAGTTAAAAGTAACAATTCGCTAGGGTTTTTCCTCTAGTTAAAAGTGATGTATTGGCTATGGTAAATATAACGGTAGTTAATATTAACAATTAGCTATGGGATTTATCATAGTTAAAAGTATCAGTGGGGGAATGAAATCAAAATTGCCTACACTATTTACAGTAACTAACCATCTGCAAACCAAAAAATTGTTGAATCAAATTGTAAAGCGAGCATACAATTTTATTAGAAGATAAACAAGATAAAATACATTGTTTTTCCCTTCAAACTCGCCTCACACTTGCTAACTACAATACATTCCTAGTAACCCCACGGAACCATTCTTCCTCCATTAAAAAATAATAATAATCTACCATCTCTCCCCCACGTGGACACTAGTTCTTGATCAACCCTCCCCTTTGCCCTTCACCTTCCCCAGCGACACACTCACACAAGTCCCGGTTTTCACCATTAAATAGCCATCGCCTCTGGCCGCCCTCCGCCGGTGAGTCGCAACCCTCCCTCCGCTGCGGAGTCGTGCGAGAAACCCAGAAAAGCATATTATTCCTTCTCTCTTCTCCCGAACAAGTAGTCATCTCTTATGGGACTTTGAGGAGAACAATAGCAAAAAAAAAAAAAAAACAAAAAAAGAAAAACCCATATCTAATTAGCAAAAACCCATTTAGAATCCAAGCCTATACGAAGCAGGAAAGCTGAGTGCAGAGAAGAAGAATTCGCAACAGATCTGTAGATATGAGGCCACAATTTCTTGAACAGATTTGAAACAGATCTGTAGATGAGAAGCATAGTTTGTAAGAGATCTAATTGACAACTTTCTTCACCTGTTCATCGTTCTTAGTCTGGCGGTGAACCAACAACAACAGACGGTGGATGTGTAGATGCAGATGAGGCGGAGGCGGCGAACGAAGCAGAGGCTGATCCACCGCCATGTCCCCCTCCCGCTCTCTATCACGACTCCTATATATATTTGATCTCGAACTTAATCATCCTTTTCCCGTCGCCTTTTTCTGGCTCGGTCTCGGGCGTAGGCGATTCTTGAAAAGAGCTGGAGATGGCAGCGGAGAACGGATTCGGTTTCTTGTTTGCTTGTTACTGGGAGAGAAAATAAAGGAAAGGAAGAGGGAGCTGGAGACTGTTAGAGGGACAGAGAAGACGGAGATTGGATGGAGATCTGTGGATATAAGGTAGGAAGATTTTTGTCCCCCAAAAAATGAGTGGCCAGTAACAAGTCAACTATCCACGTCTAAAACAAAGCCCTTATAATAGCCGTTGATTAAATAACATCTATGGAGGAAACAAACTCTCCCACTACCGACCCGGATCGATTCCCTTTCAGCAAACCCATTTCCATTTTCAGAGTGGCCAACAAAAACAGATGAAGAAATTTTTTATTAAATAAAAAAGAAAAGGCTACCGTAAAACTCCATCTAAGAATTTCCAAAACAACAACTACCGTATTTCCTCCTAAATGCCTACGGTATGGTATTATGGTAGTTAGAAAGTTATTATTGGCTACCGTATTGGATACGGTAGGCAATACTTCATTATTAGCTACCGTCTTTAATACGGTAGTCAACAAACGGTAGGGAAAAGTAGTATTTCCTGTAGTGCTGGTGATCGTAAACCACCGGAATGGGCGCTGCAGGGAACGATTGGGCATACTGGTGGTAGGGGTAACTGTACGCGCACTGCAGGTTATTCTGGATCTCAGTTTGGAATCCCGCCGCCGCCGACTCCGACTCCTGCTGGTGGGGGAGCCAGTAGCAGAACTGGTCCGGGTACAACGTCACTCCACCTCCGGCTGGGATTATCACTTCCTGGTGATGATCGGAAGTAGTGCTGAAGAAGGGATTGGCGGCGACGAGAATATTGCTCTGGTTCCCAGCCGGAGTAGGGGGAGGGGGAGGGAATGCTGGCCGAGCAGGAGCAGGTGGGGAGTTGCGGCGGTTGTTGTTTTCGTCGGTGGAGGAGAGGAGGTTTCTGCGGGCGGCGGCGCGCTCTCTCTTGTGAGCGTTCTGGTGGCCGCCGAGTGCTTGGGAGGTGGAGAAGCGGCGTGTGCAGTAGATGCAGCTGAAGATGCGACCCCCGCCGCCACTGGAAGAGGATGAGGAGATTATGGGTTTTTTGGGCGGCGTGGAGTCGGCGGCGAGTGGGGCGGTGGGAGAGGGAGGGGAAGGAGGCTGGTGGTGGTAGTAGGAGGAGGAGGAGTGATGAGGAGGGTAGTGGTGGTGGTGGGGATTGAAGAAGTTGAAGATGGAGTCACCCATATCATATTCTTTCGGATCTGTTCGTTGTGTATATCAATGGCGGGCGGTGAGAGAGTATAACTTTTTATCAGATAGATTTGTGTGTGGGGAGGGAGTATTTATATTATATTATATTATATTATATTGTAAGGGAATGATTGGGGGAGGGAGGAGAAGAAAGAGAGAGTGGATAAATCAAAAATCAAAATCAAAATCAAATGGGAAGAAGAAGGAGGAGGGAGGTGATGGCCGTTTGTCGTCATGCGCTGCCTGATTGATCTCTCTCTCTCTCTGTGGCAGTTAGTTTTTTTTGTGCAGGTGGCAGTGAAATCGGAATGATTGCGCCACTGGCAGTGATTGTTTGTTTGTACCTACACTTTGATCTCATTAATTAATATACGTACGTACATGTAACATCAAGTGTTGTTCATTATTATTAGTGTAGCATGCAGAGCAGAGTTAACAAAGAAGAAGAAGAAGAAGATGTATGATATTTGATTACTGTGGGATTGATTTCTGTGAAGCAAGCAGGCAGGCAACACCGTACCACAAAAGGGGACCTGAACTGCATGCTGCTGGGATTACTATTAGAGTATGGAATAATGGTGCCTTTATCTATCACTCATATTATGTATAATATTAATTACTTATTATGTGCTCATCACGACCAACATATATGTGTATGTATCTCGATCATGATCATATATAATCAGTTCAAGTCTAGACATATATATATATATATATATATATATATATATATATATATATATATATATATATATATATATATATAGGGTGCAGAGCGAGGAGAGGAGATACGTACGCAGGCAGGCAGGCGATCCGTTTGAGATGGTAGACGACAAATTCAAGCCCCCGCGCTTCAATTCCCTTCCCTCCCTCTCTCTGTGAACAAGTATAGGAAGGAAGGAAGAAAAGGGTGACAGCCAGGTACACAGTACGTCAGGGAATTTGCATTGCCCTGGGTCCCACTCCTTTCCTTCCCTTTCATCTCTCTCTCTTTCTTTCTCTTCTCATCTGTTGCGTTTTGGATGCCGTTAACAATTTTGTAACACGTATTCCCTCTGCATTGCTTCATATATATTCTTTCTTTCACTTCCTTGTCCAATATATATAATGCATGAGGGCGGCGGTGCTTCAAATTCAATCTTCATCAGTTATATATTATCATTCCCACGGCTACTCTCTTCATTGATTAATTACTCACTCACTCACTCACATTTTATATTCATCCTCCAATCATTAATTAACGGTTGAAGACAATGATCATAACTCGATCGAGCTTTTCTGTCCACCGGAGCTCAACGCCCGAGGTCAATTAGTACACTAAGTCCAAATACGATTAAAGGGAACCCATCGATGGAAGGGGATACACCACAAGGTCAAGGAGTATATACTAAAATTGCTTACGTACCCAATCATATATTCAGTCTTGAATCAGATTGTTGGCATTGCAGAGGGAATATATAAGAGTCGTCGAACTAACAAATCTCTCAATCCCTAATCATGGAACGGGAGACCAAGACAAAAAAATTAATCTCTCCATGCAACTTGGGCAACCACCAAGCTAATTGTCAGAGGGAGGATACGGATTGGGTAATCGGGGAAAGCGGGTGTAGAATAGTCATGATAGACCTGCCAGTATTTGCCCATACCCCTAAAGCAAAATTGGCGGATTAATAATACTGACTAATAATAATATGTAGGATATCATTGCTACCTATTATCTAGCTATACCTCTACCTCTACCTAGGGTGTAAGTGGTTGGGTTTCCTGGAATGGGTGTGTTCTAGGTTAGAATGCCCCTTTCCTTTTCCAAACCAAGTAATCAGATTCCAAACCCCATCACTCTCACTCTCTCTCTCTCTCCTAGCTCCTGCTTTGCTTTGTTGTGTGTTCCAAGCAAATGGATGGAGGGGTGTCTATGCCTATTGCCTAAACTCCCTCCAACTCCAACTCCAACTCCAAGCAAGTGCATCAATGGTCAGGTCAGGTCAGGTCAGCTTTATATTATTCTTCCCTTCTTCTACCAAACATTTTTGTTGCGCTACCTGTGGTACATCCCCACTTAACTCCAGCTGCTTGCCTTACCTACTCATTCACATGACATCATATGCTTTCCAACTTTATCACATCAATCAACTCCACTACTACTGCTTCCCAAACCCCAACATCCTTACACTAATGGGTTTGGTTTCCTTCCATTCTCAATTCACTTCAATTTCATTGGGCTATTCTTTTTTTTTTTTTTTTTGCCAATTTCATTGGGCTATTCATGTTGTCAGTAAATAATATCCTCGGCCTGGTCCACGAAACCACATGAACGTAGGCCCATCAAAGCTAATGTTAAATTCAAACCCAAATCACTGCTGGCTGCCCAATGCCAACCCCTTAAAGCCCAAATTTCCAGATTTGAAATTTGGAGGGTACGATGCTCGTCCTAGTCCCCTGCCTTTGGTTGCCTGCACCTCCTTCCTTGCAGAAAGGGGAAAACCATTTTCATCACTTGCCACGGCAGTTATCCTAAATAGCATAGTAATTGATAAGGACACCCTTTTTCGTTCACTGCACACTCCACCAAGATCAACCAACTCTTTCATAACAACCAGGAACCAGATACTCCACCCACAAAATGGGGTATTACCAGCTAACAACACACACACACACAAATAAGAGGGTAGAATGTGAATTGTTGGAACTAAGATTATTAAGCTGCCCCATATTTACAGATGTAATTAAGGTTAATGCCATTTTTTCAGAGATTACAATCTGGAAACGACTTAAGAACAACTAACTGCATAAACAATTTAAACATCATGATCGGCTGACCCCCAAACCATATTTATGTACACTCCTTGAAGGAAACCCAATTCAAGTTCATTGATTCAGCTCGCGACATCGAAATATCTCGGATCTTCTGGGAAATGGTACTCCACATTCAACTGCCCAAAAACAGACACAAGTTAATATATAGCAGTCACTCAAAATAAAACTAGAAAATGGTCTTCTCGGACTCTTAATACAAACTTTGATTTGAACGTACGTACCTTCCCCTCGTCAGCATCTGTATGGCGCTGAGGAAACACCACCCTCATGTCATTGTACAAGTAGAACCTCCGATTCACGTGGGCTTCCAATTTAGGACTTGAAGCTGCCTTTTCAGCTGCTCCCGACTTGCTAGGAGACCGCTTAGGGTAAGGACAGAGGAATCTGAGATGAAGTGCATAGCGTAGGGCACCACATCCATGGGTGGTGGGACTACTATTCTCATTGCTCTTAACTTCAATTCTCTGATCATCAACAGAAGACGGTTTTCCTTCTGCCTTCTCTTGGACCTTCTTCTCTGAATCCAGTTGCTGCCCCAGTTTCAACTCAGCGAGAGTTGTCCCAGATGAAGCTAAGCCGATCTTCTGGCGCAGAAAGGTCTAGTTTTTTTTTTAAAAAAAAACCCAAACAAAGGTAAAGACTGGCATTAGCAACGTACACTTCAGCCCAAATCATCAACTGAGAAGCCATACCCAATCCCTACTCTCAGCTGTTAAGTAAACAAGTTTCTAAGTACCTTGGTACCAGCTGGCATATCGCTCAAATCATAATTGCAAAGGAAGGTGTGCAATGGTGTTCTTTCGGGATTGCTGAGAACCTGCAGAAAGGAGGACAAAATACATTATGAAGATAAAGGATGTGCTTGTTTCAAATACAAATATAAAGAACTTTAACAGCCGAACAAACACATTTCTTCAATCCTAACATTTCAGACCAATGGCTCATGGTGGATCGCACGGATTGTTAAAAGCTAAAAACAACATCAGCCAAGCTGAAATGAAAGCATCCAAAGACCAATACACCAAATATCGAAACGCAGATCCAAGACAATTTTTGCCTGGTTTCAACTGGAGATCATATAGTAAAACCATAACATATAGAATCTAGATGGACAAGATCACTACGAGTTATACTCAGTTCATCAACCTCAGTAATCGCTCATAGGATAAACAACTCTTATGCTACAGTCAAAGCTCGATATCTTTAATGCAAGAGTTAACAGAACAGTACCGGTTGAATTCTCCCTTTCATTGGAACACGTAAACGACTCCTCACACTTTGTGAATCGCCACTATTCCCGTCCCTACTCCATCTGAGGCCAAGGTTTCGTTGCTTATTTGAAGAGGAATTCCCAGCTAGATTAATTGACGCATAGTACAATAAATAACAATCTTCATGTAAACTGGTCACAGAAAATGGGAGCTTCTGTGACTGTGGTGAGAAGTTCCCTCCAGTGATGCTTAATACAGCAAGGAAACCATCTATTTTCTACAAGATAAACAAACGGTTGGCTTTTGTCCTAACTGCGCTAAAGACATAAACCAACCATAAAAACAGCTATGAATATAACAAACACTACCTGAGTGCATTTTCCGGAGCAAAGCCGTCCGGATAATAGTGACTCTTCGAATGAACCGACCAAGGACCGCCTGACTGAAGGACCGCTCAGACTTCTCACAAACCTTATGCTTTTAGATGGAGCTGATCCATGGATTATAGACCAGCTTAAATCATCAGGAGAACATGAGTTAAATTCTCTGCAAAATAGATCATCATCTTCAAGTGATCTGCTTGTAGAAATGTCTATTTCTTCTGAACCATAGGTGAAGCAAGAGTCAAGCCCATGAACTGATTCCCTGCATGCTCCTAGACCTTTAATTCTTTCTGGAAATCTTGGACCTAGAGGAGACAAAGAGAGAGGAGAATTTGACTTCTTGGGGGATAATGATACTGCTCTAAGTCGTGATCTTCCATCAGTAGAAGATGTTTTGGGACTGTTATCATACACCACTTCCTTTTGCTCCAAGAACCTAGCTAATGAAAAAGACGGATAAGTGAGGTCGACTTTGCTTCCAACATTTGCCTTCTTGTTATCGTAGTGCATCTGAGAAGGATGAGAACCAATGTTCAGGGAATCCCCATTGAATTGCTTTGCAGATAGCATGCCACTCAATGGTGACAGCAACCGTTTCTTGACAATCGACATGCTTGACTCTGTTTCATTAACTGCGCCTTTGAAACTAGAACTTGTTTCGCGAGATTCGAAGCCCACGATCCTTGCAGCGGGCTTTTGGACATTCCTAAGACCAACTGTCGGCTCAGTGGACTTGGTTCGCACATTGTAACTAACATCTGTTTCTTCAAAACTAAATGCAGAATTTCTTATGTTCGAGCGTTCCAAAGAGGTTATCACAGGGAAATTACCAGAAGAGGGCTTTTGGTCCCCACCCATTCTTCTGCGTATACCTTCACAATCAAGTCCATCCAAATCACAGGTGCCAACACTAGAAGACCGTGGTGAGCTTTGAAGGGAAAGAACCATGCAATGCTCTTGTAACAGCATTGGTACGGTCAACCGAGGAAGCTTGGGGCAAACCCATGGCTGAGAATCGGGAACTGGTTTTTATGTCTTTATCTCTAGCCTCCCTATCACCTAATGAAGTTCAGCATTCAACTAGCAAAGCTATACGAAAAAGATAGAGCCTAATTCTACCTCTTAAACTTCAACAAAGAAGAATCTGCTCTGCACCACTAATGAAGCTTTCAAAACCTACTTTCCTGACCTTCAAAGGAACTGGTATTATGTATCCACGAAAGGCATCCACATTTCAACCTCAAATCCACAAGGAGACCAAACTGCCGAAGCCATACTTGCAATCCAACAGTAATGAGTGGCAAACATTTTCTGACCTCCGAACCAGCAAGCAACGAAGCACCTAGGGTTCATGTTGAATAACACAGCAGATGTGGGTTCCTAACAAAATCGAAAACCGAGAAATTAGTCAATCCAAATTGCACAGAGCAAATGAGAAGCTACTTGATCAATTTCTATACAGCATTGAACTTCAAAATGGAAACTTCGATTCAATTAGATGGGAGGAAAACCTTCTAACTGCCAGAACCTACAATAGTAACCAAGAAAGTAAATTGTGCATGCCTTAATCACAAATTTCCAGCTTCAACTTTGTCTGAACAATGAATCCATAGCTAGGGGATTAAATGTGCAAGAGTTTCCAAACCATAGCTCCATTCAAAAAGAAGCTGGGTTATTAAACGCTAGATCAAACAGGAGAAGAAGCAGGAACACCTCAAAGCAAACTATCGACAACCATCCAATATTTTAGAACCCAAATAGCCAATTAAAAAGAGCAAAACCGGGTTGCTATGGACCATTAAAAAGGGATTCTCTCCAAAGCTCAAAAAGAGGTTCCTTCTACGGCACATATTCACCTCACAGCTCCATCAACCAACCATCCAACTCAAGCAATCCTTGGTTTGTGTAAAACTCAAAAAGCAATCGGAATCGGGAACAAAAACCCACAAAAGAAAAGCCAGAATAGAGCAAAACCCAGACAGGCAAATTGCGATGATCGATCATCACCACCATCACCAATCAGTAACGAGATACTCAGAAGGAAAGAAAAAACGGAGGAGAAAAATTACGTGGTCACAACGCACCAATAACGCGCAAAATGAAATGAATCTAGCGGATAAGTCATTTCAATCCGCCATGTGAGTTTTATGGATTTCAATTACGCGGAGATACCAGTTACCCAGATCAAAGAATGAAGCCCCCGCAACTTTTCTTGACATTTGATTTAAAATCTGGGTTTTGCAATAGCTTATCCTCGCCTTTCTGGGTGCGTAGAAGTAGAAGAGAAGGATGGAGAAGAAGAAGAAGAAGAAGAAGAAGAAGAAGAAGAAGAAGGAAGGAGAAGAAGGTGTAGCCATTTGAGAAAGGGGATGCTTTGAGAGTTTATAATCCCAACAACACGAGGGTCGGTCTCTCCGTCATCAGTATTTCTGTGCAGTAAAAATATTTTTAATGGGGAAAGGGTTTTTGAATTTAGATTTCTCTTTCTCCCCATTCCTCCATTTTCTTTCTGCTCCTTTTCATGCGGCTTGTTTGTTTATTTACTGGTCTTCCGTTTAAAATTGACATCGCCTGCCTTCTTCTCTTTTTCCCTTATATCACTCTAATTTTGTTAGGCATCTTAGTATTAAACTTTTTTTTTATATGAGTAATAAGCATTTATTTCATTAGTGGATTGAGTAAAAAATTGAAAAGATAAATAGTCACACAAACTGGACTGAAACTTTTGACCTCATAGTAAAAGGGAGATAAAGAAAATAGTTGTGAGAGAGTTACGGTTGCTACAAAATCTACTCAATCCACCAGCTGTCCTGTCCACATGGATTATGTGCATGTTGTGGATTGGGCCGGCCTATCATACGGTTTTGGATAGACTACGTGGGAGCCCATCTATCCATCGAACCGTCGGTCCATCAATCCCATTCATATCGTCTCAACAAGAAGAAGAAGAAGAGAAAAAACTAGTGGATGGTAATAATCCATCCAACTCCCTCTTTATCTCTTCTCTTCCGCAAATCCAATCCAACCTGCATCTTCATTCTTCCACCCACCCATCTCCCTAACCCAACAACTCCTCAGATTTAGCAGCCTCCACCCAACAAAATGGCGGCCGGCAGCCGGGGATTCCTCAAACTCTCTTTTCTCATTTGCCTCATCTCCATCGCCAACACCTTTGGCGCCGCCGCCGCCGCCGGGCAGTGGGATATCTTGGCGGAGAAGAGTGGTGGCGCCGGCGGTAATACTGGAGGAGTGGTGGCCGAGTTCCCGCCAAGCTGCAACCGGATAGAGTGTCCCGGCTACAGCGTCGTGGAAAGTGGGAACGGATACGAGATTCGTCGCTATAACTCGTCGGTTTGGATTACCACTCTTCCGATTCAGGATATCTCCCTCGTCGACGCCACCAGAACCGGCTTCTTCTTGTGAGTAGATGAGACCATTTTTCAATTTCCATTCGAAATAGGTGTCTCATCTCATGGGTATTAATTAGTTAACAAATATTGTGTTAGTAAATGTGTTAGTAAATCGAATAAATCGTGACGTATCTATTTTCTTGTAGTGTTAATTTACCAATCCGTTACAAAAAAAAAAATACAATGAATGTGGGAGACATAATTAAATTAATGGATTAATCGAATTGTGCATATATTATATAGGCTGTTCGATTACATCCAAGGCAAGAACGGGTACGGCCAGACCATCGAAATGACAGCCCCAGTGGTGACCGACGTCCTCCCCAGCGACGGCCCCTTCTGCGAGTCATCCTTCACCGTCAGCTTCTACGTCCCGGCTAAGAACCAGGCCGACCCACCGCCGGCGGAGGGGCTCCACGTGCAGCGGTGGGCCACGACGTACGTGGCGGTGAGGCAGTTCAGCGGGTTCGTGGCCGACTACGATGTGGGCGTGGAGGCCGCCACGTTGCAGGCCAGCCTGGCCGACACCAAATGGGCCGACCCCGTCGCCAAAGGTGGAGATGGCCCTGCTGCCGGGAAGATCCAGTACAGCGTGGCCCAGTACAACTCGCCGTTCGAGTTCTCCGGTCGGGTGAATGAGATATGGTTCTCGTTTCAGATGTAATTAATCTGGCCGGTAATTAAATGCCTGATTATAAGACATTAGCAAATAATGGAAATTCGGACCCACGTACGCGGCCGGCGCTTTCAACATGGATCGGCTCCACTCCATGCATTGTTGACGACATTACTAGCTAGCTACTACTACAATATAATGAATGTGTGCATGTAGCTTGCCTCCGTTCCGTTGTTGGTAGGTAGCTAAAAGAAGAAAATATAATGGTTGTTTATGCAATTTTTATCAGGATGTTATGACTCTTATATATAGCGATGAAGTTGTGTTGATGTCGTGCGTTATTTGCTTGTTCGTCTTTGTCACTGAACTTTATTACATGCATGTGGTACTTTGAGGTCAACCCGGGTGCTTACTCGTCACTTTTGACGGACCAAATTAATTAAGTTTATTAGTTCTAGGGATACATACACTCGGCTAGATGAGCAACTTGGATTGATTCTCCTAGCTAGAAAGTGTCAAGAACCAGTTGATCCCAATAACTCAAGTTGTTGGGAGAGGTTCAATCGTGAATCATATATCACAACACTAACACGCCCTCCTCAAACGAAAGCCACTCACAAGGGTTTGAAGTTTGCACAGGTCTGAAAACAAGAATACCATGTGCTTAACATATGAGGGTCACCTGGAATCGAATAAAAGACCTCTCGGTCACAGAATGTTCTGATACCATGTCAAGAACCAGTTGATCCCAATAACTCGAGTTGTTGGGAGAGGTTCAATCGTGGTTCATATATCACAACACTAACAGAAAGAACAATCGGTGTTGAATGAGGGCAGACACTTTATACACATTACTATAAGTCTCTTAATTAATTGATCGAGAAGTTAAAGTGCGAAAGTAATAATTAATTGCTTGTATTTCAGTTCCTGTCGATAGATTCATTATTACTTACATTCTACTGATCATCAATCGTAAACTCAAACACCTAATATCGTTGGTAATATATAACAAAGGGCATCACTAGGCAGCTCGTAACCGATTACGATCTTTCGTCGATTCAAAGTTCATTACTTAAAAAAGTTCATTACTTCAAAGCTTATTTATTTGCATGTGGGTCATCTTTGTATAGAGCTCAATCTCGGCCCCAAAAAAAATTGCATGGAGTTGAAGAGCTCAATGGATCCAAGTATGGAACTTATGGTCAATACCGGCCAACCAATTTTACAATTGAAGTATTTCATGTTAATTGGGTGCTTGACGTATGCATTGCTTTGCATACGATCAGATATCACATATGCGGTTGAACAATTGTGTCATTATATGTGTAATCCTAGTCCTCATCATTTGGCATTGAATGAGGAGTGTACTAGGATATCTCCAAGGCACAATGCATTATGCATTGACTTACAGTGGATTTCCGTCAATTTTGGAAGGACATTATGCTGGCTGGATTTTGTATGTTGAAGGTGCCTAAACCAACATCACAAATTACTATCTTTTGTCATAGTAATGTTATTCTAAGGCAAATAGTCATGTGTAGAATTACAATTTTCGTCATGTGCAAGTTAGACAAGATAAAATTCATGAATTGATCACTCATGGAGTTGTGTCCGGACTCGAGATAACTTAGCTGATCATTTGACGAATAATTAACTAGTGAATAGTGATTGGTGGTCAAGTATGTGAAAGGGGTGAGTTTAAAGTTCATATAATTTCTAATCATGGGATACCCAATTCCCCTCTAATACGTTAGAGGTTGAATTGGATGTGGAAAGCTCATTAATTATTAGAATTGAAGCACACATTTTGTCATCTCGCGGAATGTGTTTGTTATATCCTACATGAGATAAGAAGATGAAGTTTAAAACTTCTTAATTGAAACTTGACAAAGTGTATTATGCTGGTACACGAATAAAAGATTCAAGATACGTAAGCATTAATGAAACTGCTTCAAGAAACCCAGACTTCGGTTTCGTGTGCGCTTATGAGAAGGATTGGAAACATGGCGAGTAATAGTGTCAAAGTCACTTAGAAGTTTGTGAAACTTAAGTGTATTATCTTTGAATCTCATATGAGTAGATGAGTTCAATCTTTACCAACACCCAAATATTCGGACATTTGTCAAATGTAATATACTAAGATGAAAATTCAATTGTCACGACATTTTCATTTATGCTTAAGTTTTGTAAGAATAGTGTAATTTTAGTGAATTCTTTTAATACACTAAAATGAGGAGGATTGTTAGAAATTTGGTTTAACCAAACTAACCGGATCAAAGCGGTTTAAGATTGGACTGACCAAACTAGTTTTGGGTTAGACTAACCAAATCAAATATTCTAAATCCATGAAGGGACACATCCTCTTGATTTAGTGACAGATGCATTTTTATTTATAAGGACGAACTTATAGATAAGTACAACCTAATTATGGAGGCTAATATTAATGGATAAGCACAAACTTATGAATAAGGATGAACTTATCAATAAGGACGAATCTAGAGATAAGGACGAACTTATAAATAAGGAACACCATATCCCATATACATATGAACAACCTTTCAAATGAATAATGACAACATTTATATGAATAAAAACAACGCTTTCATTAAACAATGCATTGATTCAACCCTATAAATACATAGATGTGAATAGTTATGTGATATATCATCAAATACATTCTTTCTTTCTTTCTATTAATCCATAATAATCCACTCTCTAAGTCTCTTCGACAAATTCAAGCTACTTCTGCCCACCCATCTCCCTAACCCAAAAAATCCTGAGATTTAGCCTCAACCAAAGAAAATGACGGTCGGCAGCCTCGGCATGTTGAAACTCTCTTTTCTCCTTAGCCTCATTTCCTGCGCCGCCAACTTTGCCAACGCCGGCGGCGCTACTGGAGTCGTGCCCAAGTTCCCGCCAACCTGCAACCGGATAGAGTGCCCCCGGTACACCGTCGTGGAAAGTGGCAACGGATACCAGATCCGTCGCTATAACTCATCGGTTTGGATTACCACTGATCCGATTCAGGACATCTCCCTCGTCGACGCCTCCACAACCGGCTTCCTCTCGTGAGTAGTGTCCCGCCCTGTTCTTAATTTCCTTCCCGGCCGATTACCCATATTTTTATTTCCATTCCATATATAGGGATTTTATTCCATATAATTAATTTCATGGAAATTTTTGGAGGGACAGATTCAATGGATGTGTGTTAATTTTTATTTGTACATACTAAATAAAATATATGCAGGCTGTTTGATTACATCCAAGGCAAGAACAAGTACTCCCAGCCCATCGAAATGACTGCCCCAGTCGTCATCGACGTCCTCCCTAGTGACGGCCCAATCTGCAAGTCATCCTTCACGGCAAGCTTCTACGTCCCGGCGAAGAACCAGGCGAACCCACCACCGGCGGCGGGGCTCCACGTGCAGCGGTGGGGTCCTACCTACGTGGCGGTGAGGCAATTCGGCGGCTTCGTGGCTGATAACGACGTCGGCGTGGAGGCGGCCAACTTGCAGGCCAGCCTTGCCGGCACCAAATGGGCCGACCCCGTTGCGAAAGCTGGAGATGGTGGCGCCGGGAAAATTAAGTACAGCGTGGCGCAGTATAACTCGCCGTTCGAGCATTCCGGTCGGGTGAATGAGATATGGTTCTCGCTTCAGATGTAATTTGTAATGCTGAAGATATAACACATTAAATAATGTTATCAAACCCATGCGGCCGGATCTTTCAACGTTTATATATCAAGACACCTAACACAATTTTTGGTATATGACAAAGGGCATAAATCCAGTGTTATCTTGAGCACATTCACGGACCATTTTTCTATCACTATGCAGAGCTCGTAACCAATTCCGATCTTTCACCATACATCGATCCGAAGTCGAATGCTTCGCAGCATATGTGGCATGTTGGTGATCTTGTATAAAGTTCACGGCCCAAAATTGCAGCCTCTACTGGCCTAATTTATACAATCGTGCCAATGCATGAAGGCAAAGTCAATAGCAGCTGAAGCCAAGATTCATGATAAAGAGTTACCCTGCAAAAACTTGGCAGTCGGAGAGAAGTAGGCACTAAAATGGTGTAGCCGCAGCTTCCATCATCTTCTTTGCACTCATCAGTTTCTCTATCGTGTTCAGAACCTGCAACGTGTTGGGAGAGAAGAAACTAACACAACATTTCCAAATCCTCAAGCCAAAAGAATGAGATACCAAGCAAGTTACTGCAGCAGCTTCACCTCAAGCAACATATCTTCAGGGGTGACGGAGTCCAACGTTTCGTAGCCTAGTTTCGCAGCCACCCCTGTCGATATAGGCAAAGCAAATCAGACATCATGACTCATGAGCAATAATGTGCAGCTGAGAAATACTACGCATCTCTATTAGGAGGACGTTACGTTGTAGGGAAATGGTTCCATCAGCTGTGCCATATCTACCTCTCAGATCTTCAGACGCAGCAAGAACCTGCTTCCAAAACAAACCAGTTCTGATCATATGCAACGGGAAATAGCCCAGCTAAAGATGAGCGCACTTTGACGATTAATTAACTTTGGAAAGGAAGAAAGAACTGCAGACCTCGGAACTAGAATCGGCTGAAATCATGCTGCTGGGTGTCGTGGTTAAAGGTATATCAACCCATAGAGAAATCCCATCTCTCAAAAGCGCCCTAAGTTGGAATGAAATAATTAATACCTGAGGGCATATAGCCAAGTATATTAGTCAGGAAAAAGTATTAATAAACATTTGCTGATCATGTTCTTACAAGTTGGTCGAGCTTTGAACAGCACCATCTCCAGCACACACTACCAGTCTCACCATGGATGTCAATTGCTTCAACACTTCTGTCTGCACCACCAAAATGCCAACGGTGCCAAGATGAGTACTTGCTTCTAATATCTAAGAGAAGCACTCAGCTAGCAATTCTCTCCCTCCCCATTCAATCACTCAGCTAGCACAAAACTTCAAATGCAAGAGTTGTGAAGCAACACATAAACAAAGAACCTCACCTCGGTTGCACGGAATCCCTCCTCGTCGCTCTCTCTGAATGACTGGGCAGCAGAGGAACCACCAGCAGCTTGCTCCACGACTTCATCACTAAACACACAATGAAAGTTAGGTCAATTTCCCTCCCCCCCAAAAAAGCACCCACATTTCTATTCCTTGGGACTACCTGTCGAAGTAATAGTAATTGAACACTTCCGCCAGCAGCTTCCCCAAATTGGTTTTCATCGAACTTTTCATTCCTTCCAAATCAACAAACAGATTTCACTACCCGAACTTCAATAACAAGGACAAAACCCGCATCAGATTCAAAGCTTACCAACAAGGAATATGGAAGTGCCCCTCAGTGACAAATCGGCAGCTTTCCTCTGCAAACCCCAAACAACGAATTCCGATTAAGAAAAAAGGAAATGAGAAGGGGAAAACCCAACATCCAGTAACTGCAGTATATATTTACCCTTGCTTCAAGCGTAAGATCGTTGGCGACCTCGGCACCTGCAGAGCACAATCAGTTGAACTGGCTCGAAGTTAGAAAGTTGGTAATCAAAGAGGGAGAAGTAGGCAAATCGAAGAGTTCGACCTGAAGAAACTCCAATGCCGTCGTCGGCCAGGGCGAAGGTGGTGGTTGCAATGGAGGCGGATTTGGAGAGGGAGAGACTGGAGCGGTGAGTGAGGATGGAAGTTCCGTGGGAGATAGGCAGAAACGGATTTGATAATTGAGGGGAGAAGAATCGCGGGAATTGTTGGCGGGAAGAAGAAGAAGAGAGGAAGTGTGTAGGATTGCTGAGAATCTCCATTGATGGAGAGGAGAAGGCGAGCTCCCTCTCTCTCCCTCTCTTTACTTTTTTGGGCGTCTCGTTATCCGATTCTTGCTTCCCGGCTATTCAGCTGGTCGACTGGTAATTTGCTATATTTTATCCGTCGCTAAATGGGTCGGGCCCTATTTTTGCCGGGCTCATTCGGGGACTTAAGGGTCGTTTGCTTGAGGGTTTTGGTGATGGATTTGGTCATAAAAATATATCCATTATGGATTTGAACCGAAATCCATCGTTTGCCTAAGGGAATTAGGGAGATGGAATTTGTGGGGCCCACCACTTTTGGGGTTCCAAATCCGTGGACCCCACGGACTTGGAAGTTCCACCTCTTGAGGTGGGATTTGGGTGATGGATTAAAATCCATGATGGTAAATTACCTTTCTACCCTTAATTATTTCTTTAATTACAAATTTGTCCTAATTTAATTCAATGATCATGCAACTGTAAACTTTTAAAATTTCGTATTTTATAAATATGAGAATTTATCATTTCATTTTGTAGTATCGTATTTTATTTAAATATGAATGTATATGTGATTTGTTAGATTCACCTAGAAATACTTTATGCTCATCTTGTATATTATTATTTGATTGATTGTCGGATTCTACATCGGTGAGTTAGCAAGAAGATGATGAGTTGTAGCAATAAAGCGAGCAATTGGTTGCAATTGATACATAATATTGCGTACATTATTAGATGAATTATTTTTTTTATGAAGGATTATTAGATGAATTTTTAATTAATGCCAAGATGAATTGTTAATTAGTGCCAAATTGTAATACATTTCTATATTTGTAGTTGAATTATTAATCCACATAGTGGTAAAGAGCTTAAAATTTCCTTCTATGTTTTGGATTAGTTTTAAATGAAAGATTTGGATTATAATATAGAAATATTATTAAATAAGGGTAACTAGGTAATTTGTATTTAATATTCACAAATCTAATCAAACAAAGTTCATAATCAAATCCATCAAACAAACAATAGACTTGTTCAAATCCATAATGCCACCAAATCCATCATATATCCATGGTTTTCCAAAACCCAGGTTTTACCAAAACCCTCATTTTTCAAATCCATGAAGCAAACGACCCGTAAAAATCATTGCAGCATGTAAACTCACTTCGTGGCCAGTTTGTACTATATTTTGTTGGGTTAAAGACATATTTGGTCACTGAGATTACAAAATCGGGACATGTTTAGTCACTAGAAAAAGTTAATATCAAATTTGGTCACTACAATTACTAAAACTGGACACATTTAGTCACTCGCCGTTAGTCTCCGTCCAACTCCGTTAATGAAGTCCGTTAAGTGCTGATGTGGCAAACAGAATTGACTAATCAGCCGGATGTAAGAGCATCTCCATCAATGCAATTGTAAAAGAAATTGCATTTATGTTTTTTATTGTCAACCCAAATTTCTTGCAATCCACATCACATTCATTTCATTCACCTACATCAATGCAATTAACTTGCAATTGCATATATAATTAAATATTATGTTTAAATTACAGAAAATTAAGTAAAAGAGAAAAGAAAATAATATAAAATACAAAATCCCCATTTTTTAAGGCTTTTTTGACTTGCATATGGAATTGCATTTGTTGCAAGCTTGCAAATATGCAATTGGTAGCCATATCAATGCAATTGGTTTTGCAATTGCAAACACCTATGCCATGTCATTTTGCAATTGACATTAAAACCCGCCACGTCATTTTGCAACCCGACCCGCCACGTCATTATAACCCGCCATGTCATTAAAACCAACCCAACCCCACCCAACCCTTCTTCCTCCTTCCTCCCACCTCCTTCTTTCCCCAAAACCACCGCCGCCGCCGCTCTCCTCCTTCCTCCCACCTCCTCCCGCAAACCTGTTCGACCTAACCCAACAGACCAATCCTTCACCAACGAGGCCATTGACGTTCACAAAGAATCCCCCAAATGTTCACAATTGCATCAGAGAGAAATGCAAGACCAAGGAAAGCACAGAGCAAACCAGGCAGCAGAGCTGGAAAAAATATGCTAAGCCAGTTCAACAAGCAACACCTCGTATACGTTTAACAAGCTTCAACTAGACCTCAAACAGTGAACACTTTGGTGACTTCAATCAGGTATTGAGTGGCTACATTCATTTCCAACAACAACAGAAATCTCAATCCCCAACCAAACCTACAAATCAACTCCCCCAAGCAACAATTTTTAACCAAAAACTGAAGAACTTACAGACCTTTTGGCCACTCAGCGACGATTCTTTCCTTCAGAACAGCAACCGTAGACGCTGGCGAATACCTAAACGGACCAATATCGGTTCCATCGTACAACCAGAACTCGAGGTCCACAAAATCTTCCTCCGACATTTGCCCTTTAGTCGTATCGACTATCGCGTATCTCCAAAGCCGTTGAATCTCTCTTTCTCCCAATCAATCCGATCACTGCACAATTCCAAGACTTGTCTCTCCCTCTCTCTCTCTAACTCATAACCAATTAAGGAAAAAGTCAACAGCGGGCCGTCAGTTCAAGTTCTACCTCCGTTTCTAGCTCAGAATAGAAAACGGAATCAAGACTGAAACTTGTTGAGAGCGATTCATCGAAAAGTTGCATTACCTGGAAAAAAATCTGAACGTGCCCCGATTGGCAGCCCGTCTTCTTCCCGCCCGGCGAATTTGGATGGGATGGGGAAAACCCTAAATTGGGTTCGGCCGGACTTCAGCAGGAGTAATCTTGACGATTACCCTTTTACCAGTATGAGGAATTAGATTAAAACCATTGTCAGAGGAGACGAATAGATTTGGTGAGGGATGGTGAAGGATTGGTCTGCTGGGTTTGGTCGAACAGGTTTGCGGGAGGAGGTGGGAGGAAGGAGGAGAGCAGCGGCGGCGGTGGTTTTGGGGAAAGAAGGAGGTGGGAGGTGCGAGGTGGGAGGAAGGAGGAAGAAGGGTTGGGTAGGGTTGGGTCATGGGTTGGGTTGGGTTGGTTTTAATGACGTGGCGGGTTATAATGACGTGGCGGGTCAGGTTTTATTTTTGTTGGGTTATATCCGGCTGATTAGGCAATTCTGTTTGCCACATCAGCACTTAACGGACTTCATTAACGGAGTTGGACGGAGACTAACGGCGAGTGACTAAATGCGACCAGTTTTAGTAATTGTAGTGACCAAATTTGATATTAACTTTTTCTAGTGACTAAACATGTCCCGATTTTGTAATCTTAGTGACCAAATGTGTCTTTAACCCATATTTTGTTGGCCAGTTTGTACTATAATTAGTTTGTCACATTCATATCATGATATCAACTACAATTTGAAAGGACAACCGAACTAGACAAAGTTCGATTCGTATATCAATCAATCGCGTAGGTTCACTGATCCACACGAGTAAAGAGCAAACAAGTAGAGAAAATTTGATTCTATTGATTAAGCTCAGTTAGACAGCAAAGTGGGGGTAACCCCTCTAACAAGTCACCAAAAAATCCCCCCAAAAATCCAACAATATACAGAGACTGACGACGAGTTACAAAGAAATGAAAAGTTAAGTGGAGAGCTTCATTCTCCAGCATAATCAAATCAAACCCTCTGACAGTTCAAAGAAGAAAATTTCGTGGGATTTCACATTTCTGCTTACAACTACTAGTAGTAGTGGTAGGAGTAATAGTAAAGTAAATAGCGTAGTGGCAGTTCACTTCCATCCCATACCATATTTACAGTATCCAGAGCTTCATGATGAATGTTGAGAGACCCTATCAGAAATTGTCACTTTCCACCATACCATAAACTCATCCCTCAAAAGAAACAAAACAAATGAGGAGAAAGGTACAACCTTTGTGCCCTCGCTCATCAGCTCCCTCCTGTACCGTCACGAGGGAACAATTCAGGCAACTGAATCTCTGATTTCGTAAGCTCTAAGACAAATGTAACAGATTATCACATACCTCTAATTTGGCCAGCACGAGGGAATACGTCAGGCACTGCGGCTGCCAGTTTAAGATTCGCAAGTGATAGCGGTGTAAGTGGCGGAGAATCAGCCTCTCCTCCACCCTTGTTCTTAATACTCATCGCTCTCTGGCTACTAGAAGGTATCGAGAAACTCCTGGAAACTGATAATGGTGGTATGGGAAGAGGGGAAGCCAAAGTAGTCCCACCACCAGAATGCCGGTGAACCACGTAAGGCTCATTATTCCTAACAAGAGGAGCAGAGTGGCCACTGGATGCTGTAGGTTTGACCGGTTTCCCAGCCAAAATGCCAGGCGGCCTAGGGAGTTCATGAAGCTCGTTGATCTTGGGAGAGGACAGAGGCGGCGAAGCTGTTGGCGATACTCTTGGAGATGTAACAACACCTTGCTTGGTCGTCGGCATGCTCTTGCCAATTATTGGGCCTGAGAAAGCTTGTCTTACTCCCTTGTTGTTATCATATGAGATTCCCTCTGACAATCGAGGAGGCAGCAACTGGGTGGTGGAGGGATTACTACTACCATTGCTCTCTCCAGGATCTTTCTCGGGCCTCTTTTGATCCAGTGGGGAAGAATGCCACAGAGGAGCCCGCATACCATAATCAGTTGTTGACTTTGTCTGTGAAGTTGAAGTGCTTGTTCGGGAAGAGACTGCAAATTTGGCATCGCCTGGCGTGGGGAGCACGTAAGCATTGTTGCTCTTCCTTGGCGAGTGTTGCATTTGTCTTATTCTTTCGCCTGGATCGAACTTCCTTTCAGGGAAAATTGGTGCTGAGTGACTCCCTGACTTAGGTTCTCTACTTGAGATTGGTAAATCTCCGTGGTTTCTGTCCGGGTTCAACTGCAGTAAGATGCACAATGAGATGCCAAAACAACTCATAGAAAGAGAACCACAAAAGGGATGCAGATAAAAATTTCGCCATGTAAAATGATGCATTTCATATGTTGATCAAGAAGTTAGCTACCAACATTGAAATCCAAGAGAAGGACACTGAATAGTACCTCTGCGTTTGTTCCAAAATGCCGTGGGAATGAAAGATCATCAACCTGGTAAGCATTAGAAAGGGTACAGATTAGAAGAAAAGGGTAGCCTTCATAACAAAAGAAATACCACGAAAAGAAAAAGAGAAAGACTCATTCTCTAGCAAAGTTTCAGTTCTTTGAAATCAAATCCCAAACAGCCAAAAGGAACGTCAGTAACCTCAGGTCCCTCACCTCCATTGAACTCCTTGAAGGCAAAGTATCATAACGCTTCTTATTATCTAGTCTATAATCAAAACTTAGTTCCCCGCCTTCAGTGGTATCATTAATAGCTTCAGCATCGTCTTCACCATCCTCCCTACTGTCATCTTCCAGTCCATTGAACTGGTAATCAATATGATGTTGTTCGGTAACTAGTTTTACTTGTGGATCGACCACCTCAAGGGACTTCAGCCCTTTCCTAAAGAAATTTAACTGCAAATAAAGAAAAGTAAGTAAATAATATAGCAGCCTTCAAAGAAAGTAATGGTAGTCAGAAGCCCTGGACATTGCATAAAAAAAACAACCTGAGCTGCATGATGACGAGCAGCCTGAGTTAACAGGCTTCTGGACTGCCCTTGCTTCAGAGATTTCAACCGGAAAATGCACAATGTTGCCTCTTCATTGTATTCTTCATGAGCAGATCGTAATTGCTGCATAGTGAAACTTTCGCCTTTTCCACTCTTTGACCTTCCCTTTTCTTTTTGCTGGGCAGCCATATATTCATAAACATTCCTGAACCACTAACCGGAAATAAGTTAGAAAAGAAACTGCATAAAATGTAAAGCAGGATTAGCCAATACATACCTTTTCTCATCACACTGTCTTTTCATATCCTGCACCACAAGAAGAGAATTTTAAAATCTCTTCCATAAACACTTAAAATCAGTTGAATGATCATAGACGAACCTCAACTGTCCGAAGTTCGTTTAGAAGAGATTCAGATGGATTTGTAATTGTCAGGAATATGTGAGACCGCTGAATTACAATAAGAAAAAAGGTTATATAAGCTCAAAGAAAAGGTCATCTCGTGGAAGAGACCAAAACAGATATTAAAAGAGAGAGAGAAACAAAGATCAACGACTTACGTAGTTATCAACAAACTTCTGAAGTTCAAATTGTGCTTTCCCCAACATTAACAGAATTTTGCCTGTGAATGCATGATTCATTATTAGACAGTTACTGGATAGATTGAAATCCCATCTACAACATGCTGAAGACAATATTCAGAGGAAACCCTAATACCAGCTCTTCTCTAATCATTAGAACTCCCACTTGTACCTACTAGCTACCAAGACAAATAGTCTCGACAACATGCACCATAACAGATGGTCACCGTCTGTGGGTTCAAGCTCATGGAGATGAAGCACTGATCAAGACATGTAATCAGGTCGAAGATGGAAAAGTTGAAAAGTAGTGGTCTAATCAAAGCGGAAAATTAGGCATGCCTCTCTCTCGAGTTCCAAAAAACATAGGATCGCACACCATAATATTCATACTATGTTTGCCATTCTATTGCAGTTTCCTAACAAGGATCTATTGAGGCCACAGAAATGAATATAATTACAAAATATGGCAAGTGACTAAAGTTCAGCTTTTTTCAACTGTCTACAAACTGTGAATGATTTTGATTCTACAAACAAGTTTAAATTATAAAATACTACATAATCTAGTCTCACACAAGGAATTACCACTTTCTTCGTCATCGTGCAATGCAGTTTTCTCCAGCAAACAGGTCCCCATTTCCCGCAGTGACTCCGAGAATTCTGAAAAGGAGGATTAAGTATAATAGAATGTTGTACGAATGTTTACCAAAAGGATAGAGCGCTCAAGCCATATCTGAAAGAAAATAGCTCCATGAAGGTTGACACGTATCTTTCATTTAGTGATAAAGATTTGGCATCATAAGGTAAGGCGAAATGAAAATAAGATCACTGTACTTGAGAAAACAGAAAATATTCCAAGAAATAAGAGCATACTAATTGTCTCCATACTAAGAGAATAGGCACCATTGCACCAAATTCATATTGAGTTCAAATTCAGAATTAATAACTGCGATCATCATGAATTTCGGGTGTGGGCGTGCAAACAACTCTACATAATTGAAGCTCATGTGTTCAGCATTTACCGTAAGCACTGTTTGCTGTTGCAGCAGCTGCTGAAAGTAAGCTATCATAGCAGTTTCTCATATCCTGCATGTCCTATAAAGGGAATAGAAAAAACAATAAACGATTGAATGATTATCTTACGCGATGAAGGTCAGACATAAGGAGAACCAAACTTTGAACTATGAAGAATATGTATTATTACTTCTAGAATTTCTATCTCCTAAGCTCTGCTAAAACACCCTTACATAACTTGACCTCATAATGATGAATCAATACATTCCCAAGTTCCCTTAACCTCTTGAGCTCAATTATGAGTAAGCATGGCTTATCCAAGCAAATTGATTTATGAATTAAACTACAATCTTACACAAATGGGATCGGCATTCCTACTGAATTGTGAGACAGCCCATAACCAGTGAGTGATAAAGAGATATGGGAAGAATTCCGGTACCTCGGCAGCTTGAGCGAGCTCATCTAAGTGAGCTGGATGCAGGAAGTCCCTTTTATCTTTCGAATCACTTTTGTGGAGTTTAAATCCCCGGAACTTACCGAGCGGGGACTTCATTTTTCCCACCCGCGCGGACAAACCCTAACCTCCAGAAGAAAAGCCCAAGACGCAGAAGATACCCCGACGGCCGCCCTCCCCGGAGACGGGAGAGAATCAATCGGAGTAACGAGCAGAAAGAGAGACCACGAACACCAGAAATTACACACACGCACGGAGAAAGACGAGGCGCGAAGCCCTTCCTCGAGCGCGCTATTTTCCGCGAAATTCCGGCGATGGGGGCATTTAGGAGCTCCGAATCGAGAATTGAAGAAATGGGTTGTGAATGCCGGGAATCCAATTCGATTAATTCAACGACATAGAAGAAGGGAATGGAGGAATAGGCAAGGAAATGGGGGAAGAAGGGGAAATGGGAAAGGAAGGAAGAAGGAGAAGCACGCAGCTGGCCACCGGCGCTTGTTTGGGTCAAAAAAACGACTCGTAACTGATCAAAGGGTGAGTAAAATGGGCAGACCCTTCATAAATAAAATATTGAATAAATAAATAACGCATCATTATGTTTATAACTCATTTCAATACAATTATTAAGCGAAATTATACTACAATCGATCTGCAATTGTGATCTAGAAAATGGTTTGTCTGTCGATCCAAACTTCTTGACCGATGTTAATTATTACACAAAATATTCGAATTATTTGTAAAAAGAAGTAACATTTTGGGCAGCCTATAGAGAACATGTATTGAAAATGAGCAGATTCATGGCAATTTTGGAAAATAAAAGTATTCATTTTACAAGTCATAATCTTCAAAATATTCTCCACTAATGGATAATGTTAGAACTCCGCAAATATAAATTTATTGGTAATGGTTTTATAAGTGAATAATATAAACTTGAAACGAGGGGTCAAGTTTTTCTATTTCGAAAGCCATCACCTCCAAATTTTGAGAATTAGTTGGATGAAGTTGAGATTCTATGACCTCTTAACTATCTATCTATATACCATATAATACATGATTTTTTTTGTATGAAGCTGGCGCATTCTTTTCAAAAAGATGAATTTGGCATGAGAAGAGTACATTAATGACATGATACATTTCGTCGAGTCTCAAGTATAAGGAACATTACACGCAATTTATGTTTGTGTTTGTTGAATCCACAAATCATAATAAGTTGTTTGCAGCTCTTCTCAAGTAATAATCACGACATGATGGCTTCGGAAGGACTAGTCGGGGTGATGCTATAACAATTTAATGGCAAACCTATGATGATCCCCAATCCCGATGGTAGAGATTTAAGTTGCCTTCAGACGGTTTTGTATGTCCTATGGTCCTAGTACCGGGGACACGAGAAAGATGGATTGAGAATGGATTCAGGCAAGAGAAGATTATTTTAGCCATCTCTCAACCCAATTTAGACTTCTTATCAATTATATATGTGAGTTTGAAAATCAATCATACTTGCAGAAAAATGTGATCAGACAACATAATATTTGGCCTAAAATGTCATTAACTTATTGAAGTACTAGTGTTGGGAATGGCAGACCTTAGTGAGCATAAATGGTTGAATTATGTTGCAATCGGAATTTCCCAAAACCAAAGTTATTTATAAAATACCGGATTAACTACTTAAAAGAAGTAAGTCGTTTATTTATTTCTCTCAATGTTTAAACTCACAATGTCATGGAAGTGGGTGCATAATAGAAGATGAGATATTAATATGATACTGAAGCATATTTCAAAGGGAAAAAACTGTCTCCTTCCACGCTTCACAATTATGTCATATCTAAAGCCCAAGATTGGGCTAAAGTTTGGGAAACAACGAAGATGAAAGAAAATCTCAGCACAAAGCACGACTACCACGAGAGTTGAATCGCTTATAGGATGGAGGGCTCTAACAGTCGGTTGGTGGAAGTTGAACAATGATGGGGGTTGTTCAGATGAATTAGGGTCAGGTCACAGCTGGTGGAGCTCTTCGAAACAACTATGGTGATTGGATCAATGACTTCTGCAGCATACTTGGAACAGGAATAGCTCTAATGGCAAAGTTGTGGGGGATGTATCAAGGTCTTCTCCTAGCATGGAAAAGGGGATTCAATTCCCGATTCTCGAGTCAGACTCAAAACTTGCTTTGGAATTGATTGAAAAGCGAAATGATCAAGCTCATCCTTATGCCATGATTCTTGGAGCTATCCGCAAACTTATTGCTCAAGAGTCGATGGTTCGTTTAGTTCATACGTATCGTGAATGGAATAGTGTCACTGACTGGCTCTCGAAACACAGTCTCATCTATCATTTGGAACGTATGAACTAGAAGACCCACCGCCGAACCTGGTGAAGCTCATTAGAGAAGATGTGATGAGAAATAGTTTCCCACGACAAGTCCAGCAAAACAGGGAAACCTAAACTTGACCTTCTATGGCTGTAGTGGATTGTTTATTGCTATATATGTAGCTCAACCACTTCTTCTTGTATTCCCCGACTTTGTGGCCTCAATTTAACAATAAAAAGTATGATAATGAAACTAACGAGTAAATAAAAAACTTAGAAGTACAGGTAGTATGTAATCTACTAAACACCGATCTACTTATAATAAATTTGAACGAGATATTTAAAAATAGTAGATCAACATATTTGTTGTGTGGAAATTGAGGTTATTTGTTAAGTTAGAGTATAGTTGAAGGATCAAGAGACATAAAAGTTATGATTCATAAAAAAAGAAAAGACATAAAAGTTATGGAGAATTGTGGATGTGTAAATCATTAGAAGATTAACACATGGAATTACAGCTTACTTAGAGTGATGAAATAAAACAGAAAAAAAGGGAGGGCAGTCAAAGTCAGATATTGCTGATAATGAAAGGAAAGAAAACAATTTGCCATGATGAAACTTTTATTTAATTATTATTTATCCCTTTATTATTTTATGTGTTTCGTTACATTCATAATATCCCAAACTTTGACTGCATGATTGAGTTTAGTCGGATATATTCTAATAATATATTTCCCCACATTTTCCCATCCATCTTCTCTCTAAATTCTTTTTATTCCTATTTTAATTTGATATATCATTTGAATATAATAGGTTCTTAAAGTAAATGTATCTTGTTTTTGCGTTCAATTTATTTTTATAAATGTTCATATCTACATAAGTTCATGGTTGGAATTCAACTTATTGCAGAAATTGCATCGCATTTCTCATGTTATCTTATTGTCTTAGACATCCATATTTATTAGTATGATATTTAATTATTCACATCAAATAAGAAGAATGTGAATTTGTTGTTGACGAACTTAACCACTCAAATATTTTCTCTAGATCCATAAATAAGTTATGCGTTAAACCTTTTTTTTTTTTCCAAGAAATGTCAAGAGAAAACCTATACAATCTACCCCGACCCTGCCCAACCCAATACATCAGAGAAGCCAACCCACAAAATCAAAGGCGCAAAACTCTAAAGGGGAGAGTAACAGTGCTTTCTGCGCCACTCTATGGGCAGCACTGTTAGCAGTCCGAGGAACTGCCCTAAACTCTAAAGAAATAGAGACGGAAGAAAGGAGAAGGGAGCAATCCCGAAGCACCGGACCTCCAATGGAGTCAGAGAGAGCACCTTGACGAAGCTGCCGAATCACCACCTCTGAAACTCCTTCTATGATGACCCAAGGCAGCACTTTGGAGACTACAAGGGCGATGGCGTCCCTAGCTGCTAGGAGCTCCGCAAGATAGGGATCAGCAATACCGGGATGGAGAGACCCTAAAGCCAGAGCCACATGCCCATCTGAACTGCGCACCACAAGACCAGACGAGCACCCAGAAGGACGAACAGCAGCATCAAAAGTGGATCTTCACAAAGCCAACAGGAGGAGGGGACCAAGACGAGAGGCGAGAACGGGAAGGCTGGGGCGGAGCAGGGACCAAAGGAAGGGAGGAAGACAGATCGCGAACTTGGAAAAAAACACTGACGAGCGAGAGACCGGGCATGAGGCTGGACATGCTCAAAGACCACCTTATTTCTAGACTTCCAGATCCTCCATAATACACAAACGTATAGGAGAATGTGGGTTTGGGGGTGCTCAGAAAGCATAACATGTCGCCACCAGAGACTGAAATTCACAGTCGGGGCCGAGGAGATGAAATCATTTAGACCCATGAGCGACCACAATCTTGTGGCCAAGTTATGCGTTAAACCTTGCATATTACATAGTTAACTTGTGACATTCTTTGACATCATTCTACTATTATATTTTAATGCATTGCATTTTTCGCAACCCAATTCAATTTGGTTTTGTCATTATAAACAAGACCAACTAGACCACCAACTAAACAGCCCTCAAGAGAAGTAACGGTCTTGAGTCAATGCCACAAAAGAACAATTCTAACAAAAGCTAATAGATTGAGTTAAAAAAAAAGCTAATATATAGAAGTAAAAAAAATTAAAGAAAATATATATGATGTTAGGGTCACTAAATGTCTCTCGTCAAACTAATAATGCTTGATTAGGAAAACTTAATTAATTACTAGAGAGGAAGCAAATTAAGAGATGATGTAAACTTTGGATGAGGTGCCAAGGAATTTCTTCAAAATTTGCAACTGGGTATTAACCTAGTTTATATTATAACTTGCAAGAGAAGAGTTGTATGTATGAGGAATTTTACTATGCTATATAGTATTGGTGTTATAGGTTTTTCCCTTTATGGTATAACTTCAAGTTATACTTTTTACGTTATGGTACAACTTTAGATTGTACCTATACTTTTTTGTACAAATTTTTTCTTGGTACAACTTGAACTTGTACATTTATGTGATGGTACAAATTCCTTTATGGTACAACCTAAACTTATACATTTAACATCATGCTACAACTTCAAGTTGTACATTAAAGCACTCATACTTTAGAGCATAGTAGAAGTGCTCGTATGTATACGGGGAACATTCATCCTATTTGAAGGGGGAAACATGATTTCATAGCTCACCACAAGAAATTCAACACTCTTAGCTAAGAAGGGTTTGCTCCAGTAGTAATACCATAAGTCTTGAACTTGAAGGTATTAGGTTCGAAGAATACCTATTTAAAGATCAAACATATATCACCCATATAAAAAATTAAAAAATTCATCAACACTTTTCATAATTAATTGGAGATTAGGTTATACACCGAGAAAACTTCGTTCAAATCAAGATAAAGTTTGACCATAGTATGATCATCACATCCATCATGGTGGGAGGTTTCCAGGAATGTGAAATATATGTCTTGTGCCCCTTAACATGTTGTGTTTTGTTCTCCATAATAGCGACACTAGAATTTTGAGGGTCAGGTTAACAGTAGGAATTGATATACAAGATGATCCCTCCCCAACATCAACACTCAAATTCGAATCAGGAGCTCAAAAGCAATGGTCACCGTAGTAGGACCACATGTATAATACATGTGTTTGTAGTATATCGTGTATATGGATCAATATTTTTTCACAAAATTGATTATATGATTAGTTTCTACATAATCCAACTATTATTATGATTTTAATATGAAATATATCTTTCGTTCTAGTAACTTATGGTACCACTAGAGTCCAACGATAAAAAAAATTGAACCTATGTTATATAGTATTACTAGTGATATTTTGGCCCCATACGTAATTGAATCCATGAAAGGGTAAAAATGAGAGGTGCATGTAACTAGGGATGGCAATGGGGCGGGTTTGGGGCGGGTTTGCCTAAACCATCCCCATCCCCATCTTCAAATACCCAAACCCATACCCGCCCCATACCCATGCGGGGGAATATTTTGCAAACCCATCCCCATACCCGTGGGTTTCGGGTACCCATGGGTAATACCCATCCCCGTACATCCAACATTATTATACCTAAAACTTACAAGAAAAGTTTTAATTATAACCATAAACAAACCTATTATATCACGAAGTCAACAAAACACGGTCATTTTCTAAATACGATTAAAAAAATATGATCCTAAAACATCCATTAATACATAATATAGACTATAATATTTTTTAAATTATTATGCTCTAACTCTTGATACATTTACTAAGTAATAATTAACTAACATAATTTTGTTGACAAGGGGGAAATGAAAGAGTGGAAGGAGAATTGAGGGAAATGAATTAGGTTTTGATTAAGGTGGTTACTCAATTGCATTTCTACTATTTATTTTCTCGAGTTATCATCATCATCATTGATAGATTACAATTTAATCCACGTATTTTTTGATATGTGAAGAAATTCTCTTGGTGGGGCGGGTATGGGTATGGGTATGGGGCGGGGGAGGCTAAAACCATACCCGCCCCATACCCATCAAACCTTTTGCGGGTTTTACCCATACCCGCCCCATACCCGGTCAAAGCGGGGATTCCCCGCGTTGACTGGGTATGGGGCGGTCGGGTACCCGCGGCCATGGGTTTGATTGCCATCCCTACATGTAACTTGAGCTAGAAAGGGGGACATACAGGGTTTAGTTTCAATGAAAATTGCACTTTTGGATCGATGATTAAAATGTGAATGAACAAAAATTCATATAATTAAGCCGCATTTTCAATAGTTGGTCGTTAAATTCCTAAACACGGCATGACAATTGAGATTATTCTTCTGAAAGGGATGCTAATCATGGTTGATTAATCTTAGTTTTATGATCATGTCTATGCTTGACCAGCCTACTTTTAATATTGTGGGATTCATCATTTGGGATGTGACTTGAACTTCATCGACACCAACAGCCATAATTGAATTGAGGGCAAGCTTGACGGTTTGGTGGAGGGAAGGTGCAATTATATATGTAGGGTTTTGGGTCTTGATATTGACTTTGGGTCAACGACGATAACAAATGATTAGGTCATTGATGCATTTCGTGAGCCTCAAGCTATCGATAGGGTCTTGGATTAATAGAATTGATGAAATGTTGATAGAAAGATTTGAATGGAGTTCCATACGAGAGATCATCTGGTCACAAACTCTATACAATTTTATCGCGCATTACATTCAGATCAAGATTAACTACAATCGATGTTGTTAATGAACTTTTGATTTATACCAATACGATAAAAGAATAAAAAATTTAAAAGCCATATACACAAAATCAAACTTTTTTCAGGTTTCATGTGTCCTTTACTTTTTTATCTCTTTCACAAATAAGTTTGAATTTGATTCAAAACCACAAACGACATAACAACATACAAAGCAATTGATCAAAACGAGGTTACAAATTTCTCATAGAAGCATAATAGGAGGAGGATACATATGAGATGATCATAATATTTAATCAATTCTCCATTGAGCAATGCATAATTAGGGTTAATGTGGTTGATTAGAATGGTTGCCTAAACGATGTGGGTGGAGAATGTGTCTCATCCCACCTGATCCTCCCCCTCTTGGCAACACACTCATTATCCCCCTTCCTCTCTTCCCCTTCTTATTCCTTTTCCCTTCTTCTCCCTACAATCATGTACTTAATCAATTAGTCAACATGCATCACCCCTTAATTATGAATATTACAAAATCAAACATAAAACCTCATATCATTTCTCATCTATTACAAATACCTTATTTGATCCATCATCTACTGGTATTTTGTTCTCCTTCTCTTCATCCTCCATGTTAACTACTCAAGATCACAAAAACTTATTCAGATCAATGATATTTGATACACAAGTAATAAATTATCAATCCTCACAAGACTTAAAAGTTCACGAAACAACATAAACTCATCAAACTCGTATTTAACCACAATCTTTAAAAGAAGAAAAAAAACTTGATCATTGAAGTTATGAGTTCCATTTTAGATGTCATTTAAACAACATTCAACGCTTTGAATAGTTTGTACTCTTCTATATATCATTATGCAATGCTTCTATCAGCGATAGCGTAAATCATACTTACGAACAAACCCAATCAATCAAGATTCTCACAAAAACCCACACAATACACCAATTGCTAGAGAAGATTAACATCTCACCTTCGTGATCATCGTGAGTTTGAGAATCATGATGATGATGATGATGATGATCACCCACCACCTTATGAGGCAACAAGTCATCATCAACACAATAAACCCGGAAACTCGGTGACCCAAGAGAAACCATAATGCTATCTTCCCTATGCCCTTCTCCTCCTCCTCCTCTGCCGCCGCCGCCGAATTCATCCTTCCCTACCTCCCCTGCCGCTGCCTTCTTCACAACCACCACCATCCTCCCGCCGTCCTTAGCCGGCGGCGGTGGCGGCAACAACAGCTTATCAACTTCATGATGGTGATGATGAAGATGATGTCTTCTAATAGCATGCACCTCCTCTTTAATCTTCCTCAGCCCTCGTAACCTACTGGCAGACGATACGCTGCTCTTCCTTGCTCCGGCATCGCCAGCTCCCTCATCGGCGGGGGCCGGCGGCGGATGAGGGGAATCGACGTCGTGGTGGTGGGTTTGTTGCGCTCCCGCCGCCGCACCTTCGTGGGCGTCGAACTTGGAAGCGCCACAACCCATGGAGATGTAAACATTAACCCCAAAACATTAATTAATTTATAATTATACGGAGAAGAAGATTAAGGAGGGGGCAGAACAAATCAAGAGCCGAGATAAGGTATCAATTTTTTTCGGGCATATTGGATGAGTTACGTTCGAATTTTTGTTCATGTTAAGGTGATATTTGGTTAGTTTGTTTTTGTTGTTGTAACTTGTAAGTTAAATATGGGATGTCACGATGGTTATAACCTTATTATGGGACGAGTTTTTTTAATTTACTTTTTAAGATTATAATTGTTAGATTGTCTGGGATGTTATATTTTGGGGTTAGTCTAATAAGTAAGACGAGCTATCTTGCACTTATAAAAAAAAAAAAAAAGTAAGATGAGCTATAATTTGCTCCTTATCCCATTGACGGTGATACTTACAAACACATACCAACCATGTGATTGTTGCTAAGCACTTATAAGTATACGTGACATGTTAATCTCAATTGTCCAATTAACTAGCTACACATCCATATCATTCAACGATCTCACTCAAGTATTAGGTGGAATATTAAAGTCATGAGTTAGATCGAGTGGGTGTGTGAGTGTTGATTGAATGATTATAGTAACATATAGAACTCATAAAGTATCCGGAATCAACCTTGTTAACGTAATCTAAACAAACAAGAAAATATAATTATTTTCTTTTTTTATAAAGTATTTTATCCCGAATTAGAGAGCATAATGCCTACTATTAATTATAGAATCTAACTCTCTGATGAATGTCCTACAAAGCAATAGACCATTATTTACAAATTGAACACCACTCCAAGTTCCAAATGAATACAACCTTTGAGCACATGATCATGATAAAGTTAGCTTAGTGGTCAATAATAGAGCATTAAGTTTAGTTGGTCTGCCAAATCAGCCAGCGGACTGGGCTGATTTAAACTTTGAGCCTAGGCTTATGTAATGTACAAATTGACAAATACGCAAATTGGGCTTTGCTTCCATTACCCACAGATAGGTCCAGCAGAAACACGGAGCTGACACTCGAACTCTTTTGGCTGGCCGGGAGCGCAGAGACGAAGACGAATTAGCAGCGCGCGGACGAAGGAAGAAGTAGCGGCGGCGCCGGCGGCACAGAGAGAGATGTCAGGCGGAGCATTTTGGGCGACGAGAGTGATGGAGATAGTGAAGAAGCACGACTCGGGAGGACTCGTCTGGAAGAGAATCAAACTCACCCCCTCTCGTAAGGCCAACGCCAAGAAGCGCCTCCAGCGAGTTTGGCAGGTCCGTTTTCTCCTTCCAAGCTCCGGCTTCGATTAACCTTTCGCCTATTAACTCTTACTTCAGAATCGTAGGAACCCAGTTTTGGGAGTCTTAGCTGAGTAATCAATTGGGCTCTTTGCAATTAGATGAGGGATTTCAGAATTGCAATGCTACACTTGGATACTAGGGTATTCATTGTATTTGGTATGAGTTAGTATCCCGCAAATTTCAGCTCGTTGAAGTGTTTTAGTTTCCACCAACTCAATTGAACTGTGTTTGGGGCTGCAGCCTCAAGTTTAAGATTTAGAGGACTCTTTAAGAATTTGCTTGGGGAAATGATTTGATTCCTCGAACGAGAAATAAAGTTGCAGTGTTTCTGCAGCGTTTGTTGTTCTCTTCAAGTAACAATGGTACTAATTGCATTATGTTTCCTCAATCTCTCGCTACCTCGATTGTTTATGTTCCTCATTAAGTTCTTACTTTGTCATTGCTCTTGCAGAATGAGGCTGTCTTGAGGGCATGCTCTGAACCACCACCTTCAATGGCATCCACTAATGAAGCTGGCGGACCAGCAGAAGGAGATGGTAACAACACCACCAAAACCTTGGATGCCTCAAGTTAATGAGCTTTAACATGAGATAAGTAGCTCAAAGCAAGCGCTTTTGATCGCAGAGCTATATTGTTCTAGTGATAGTTTTAGTTGTCAGTCTGATGTGGAAGGCTCTTTTGTTAAAGGAAGCATACCACCATGGCAACAACATGAGCAATTCTAGGATACTGATTTTGAAAACAATCCATTGGTAATTCAGCATAGAGCTATAGAATCAAGAAACATGTTCTGAGAGCCAATTTGGATATAGTTACTGTCATTTCTTGATGCAGACTATGGTGTCGTGTTGATGGGTGTAAGATGCTCTTTTCTGATAGAAAGGAATCCCATATCTTGTTCTTGCATGAGAACTCCAGGTTTGACTTGTATGATGCACTCTATTTCAGTTCATCAGGTGTTTATCTTGTTCTTCTTTTCCTTTTGGATATAACCATTGGTTTACTTTATTTGAGTTATAAAACCTTTTTACCAAACACGCTGTGTTTCCATAGCTTGAAGTGAAAACCTTTAAGTAAGCTGGAATCATTCCTTTCCAACTTACTCATGCACTTGTTTGTGCTAGTGGTTGTCTATATTCAGTTTATTGGAAAGCTATTTTGTGGGATCCTAAAGAAGTAGTAGTGTTTGTGATACTGTGTCATACAAACCCCATGTACCAGTTACACTGTGTCCGAGTAACCAAGTCGACAACATTTTGTAACGATTTCATTATGGGTTTACCACAGTTTGCAATTTCGCACACGATTTTGTTCTTGTACCTTAAATCTCTTGTCTATCTGATTTTATTTCGGGTGGCTTCTATTCTGTCTGTTTTCTCAAAACATTGTACATAATATAAGTGCTGAAAGCAAGTTATGGGCTTCATTTTCCCTGTCATTTCATCTTTGCTCCATGCAGCCCATTTGGCATCCATCAGCAAACGAGGAAGCCTTGTTAAAATTTGGGTTTCTACCAAAAAAAAAAAAATCACCTTTTTTCAAACAATTTTCTAGTTTTCCTTCTGCTGAGTTGTTTTTTTCTGTTCTGCTAGTGTTATGTGCTGTCTAAATGTCTGGTATGTCTGGAAGGGACAGCCATTAATTGAAGCTCCTATGGTGGGAATGCTGCTATATGGGGAAAGGCAGTAACTTTTGTTGTTGGTTGCTTGTGGAATGGGATCTTGACTACAAGTGTCAGAGACAACTGAGTTATCGATTTTGTTGGAGACTGAGCTTTGCTGTTCTGCTTAAATGGGTTGATAGAAAGAATACAACTTTATTTCTCATTGCAGTCATTAACTAAATATGCAGCAGGTTCCTAGTCTATGCTTGGCTATTACATTGTGCAGTGATAGCTGCCTAGAAGCTTTTGCGGTGCTGCCTAGAAGCTTTTGCGGTGCTGCCTTATTTCTTCCCCTCTTCTTTAATTTTTTGTTTGTTTGGTAGAGTTTTTATTTGTTTTCCTTTCTTTTATGAGTATGGCAGAACTCCCAATAGATTTGCAGGACCTATCAGATAACAAACTTGGTGTTCCGTTTGGACACTCAAAACCGAATTACTGTGTGAACTAGGTTATATTCATACAAGTTGAGCTGAATCAAAATTTGGAAAGCGGGCAGAATAGGATCGTTACATACTGTAATTTTGTTTTCGATTATTTCAGTTGGTGTCTATATCGAGAGTATTAAAGATAAATATTGATGTTATTTGTTGGATTCAAGTATAAATGTTTAGGTATTGACATTAAATGTCATGTTTAAATATGCGTATTTATAATTTTATTTGTAATATTGACCGGCACAAACTGGTATGTGCCACCGGTCGAACCAATCCACTTACTAAACCGGCACACTGGCATAAACCGGTTTGACAACCTTAGTTGAATGGGACTTTGAGTTTCTAATCTTATATAGATTCAGTTGTATTCGGAGCTGAGTTGTTGTTGATGTTGTTTCTTGTTTCTGAATTTGTGGCAATTCCATTCGATTTTGGATGGGATGAACGAGTTACCGACCGCCCATGCATATATACAGCGGATACTTACCAATGCTATAATTTGCTCACCTATGTACTATTAACTAACTACCTCACCAGTCTAAACTCAAGTGAGTTGTGTAAACACACACTACCGATTAAAGAGGGCAGGCACCAAACACTATTATTTTCATTCCTCGACATGATTGTCCTGATAAGGCAAAAACACCTACTCCAAACACAAAAGGGCCTACTCCCATTGTTAGCTACAAAATGGGGGTCTTAATAAAAAGGAAAGGGAAAACCCCACAGAAACATCACAATCCATAGAGCTATGAAGGTGACGTGAGGGATTTTGATTGGTCTCTTGGTGTTGTGATGGGGGAGTTTAAAACAAGAAACAGATTTGATTTTAATGAAAATCTTGAAAATGCAATGATTCGAAAACCTCTAGCACAAGCAACCTTCCTTGCCCTTGGTATGGTCGGCACTCTTCTTCTCGCATCCCGCCAAAGCCCAAAACCTCCATTTCTCAATCTCGACCACATTCATGTTTTCTTTTTCCTGCATCTTGATTGACTTTCTCGCTCCATGTTTATTCAATAAACATATGGCATTTTCTTGCATAGCATCAAAGGAATCGTTGGTTCTTCTTTTGGAGGAAAATGAAAGTGTAACAACTTCCCTTTTCATCCGAGGAAAAATTAAAGATGAAACCTATAGTGAGAAACGATTTTTTTTTTAATGTAATCTACTTGTACATATTTCGAGTAAATTATAATCATGTTATGAATAATTTAGATATCTTATTGTTGAAACTATTATGAGAACATATTCGTTCATAATTGAATATCTTTGATTCGCACGGGAAACATATGAGTTTACTAGCTACTCATGTGTTGGCATTCGTCACCATTTGGAGTGACACTATCCCTCTTCATAAAAACTTAGCATTGACAATAGATGAGCTTTTGTGTTGTATCTAAATGGTGGTAGAGTGGTCCAAATCTAAATTATTGGTGTTCTCAATTGATATTGATTTAAGTTGGCACGGTCACCGACCAAGACTAAATTTACTTGAATTATGTTGATACTCATAGGGTCGAGGTAGCCACCAGTTAAATAGATAAATTCCCTGTTAACAAATCTATAAAAAAATCTCTTTATAGACAAGCTTCGGGTTTTGCATCTTAATAGTGGATGATTACCAATGCTAACATTGAAATTAAACGAAATAAATGGCTTTCTTATAATATGCTAACGAGTACAACTCATAGTTTTTTTTCAATGGTGATGATTAATCGTGTTATAAAGTATCAATATTCTAGTTTCCTTAGTGTCATATACCTACCACTATTTTTATTGGCGGTTGCCGCTATCTTGTGAAATTTGAGGGTGTTGGCTTTCTTTTTCAATTTTGTCAAATTTTAGGTTTCAATTGTCTGGCTTGAAAGCAACCTAATTCGTTAACAACATAACTATATAGTATATACTCAATGACTTATTCATAGTTTTTTTCCTAACCTTTATTTGTTTGTTTTTGACAAAGGATCAATAGATTCTCCTTTTTTCAATTTTAGTTCCTTGTAATCTTCATCAATTCAACTTTGGCATATAGAGCAATAGATCTTTGTTCATTCCTTGGAAAAGGATTTATACCGAGAAGAAAGAAAGAGAAAAGACTACTCGGTCATATTGAATTTAATTATTTATATTTGCAACTACACTAATTGATAGATGATGAAAAATTCGTTTTACGTGGAATGCCATCGTGACCCTAAATAAAACTGTCTCGTTGGCTAGGGTTAGCTGGTCAACACACAACATCTCATTAATAACGTGTATGATAGTCAACTTGTTTGTGATAACTCGCATATCATGCATGATGTACATCCATCCTTAGTTTGCATCTCAATGCGACCCGATTAGTTAATAAAAGCTTCATTAAATCTCAAATGATGAGTACATATTAAAAATAAGATAAGATGCGAAGTAAGAAGTCAGACTTATTATCAAATAACGAACATGAACGTTTCAACATATATAACATATGAAATATCCAAAATGTGCTACTAAATATGAACTAGTTTATTTGTCTTTTAAATTTGAAGGGAACGAATATGAGCAAATCTTGTATACAATTAATTCATATAATAAGTTTCTAATCAAGAGACAACGAGCAAGTAAACCACTTTCTAGACAAGAGCTCCGCTACTATGCTCATAAGTACTAGTGATTTTGATTACCAAAATATACATTTTATGGTATAAATTTAACTTGTATCTTTAATATTATGGTACAATTTCAACTTCTATTTATATCTTTTCGTACAAGTTTTTTTATGATACAAACGGAATATGTACCTTAACCTTATGGTGCAAACTCAATTTGTACCTATACATTTCTATACAAATTTCTTTATGATATATATTAAACTTGTACCTTCAACGTTATAGTACAAATTCAACTTAAACCTGAAAATATCGGTACGTGTGAGCATGGTAAAATTTCCCTCGAAAGTGTTTACTTCAAAATCATAGTACGAGAATCTATATATATGTCAGAACTACCGAGTACAAATACTAGAAATACTATCATCGTTCCAAAAGTACTTTGTATTCATCCATCAATGATGAAAACAACTTTATAGTATAGTTTTAAGCCCTAACTCACATGAATAACCTTATGATGCTGTGTTGCTGATTGTATATATAATCATGTGATACACATGTGTAGTGTAGTGTCTTATTGGATCTCCAGTTTTGAAGGTCAAAGGCCCCATTTTGGTAATCCAAATTGATACTTTTATTTGGATTTCAATTTAGCTTAATTAATTTTTCACCTCCCTACAATTTCATTTAAAAATTCTTCCCAGCAAATTTGGTAATTAACATCTTTGAATGTACATTAAACAAATTAAATAATTCAAATTAGTTTATAGTTCACTAGAGTTATTACCCGTTTGAATTAATTCTTCTAATTCCATTCATTCATTACTATAAAATGAACCTTGATCAAGCTTAAAAATATATACCAACTATTCATAAGATAGAAATTCTTCAAAACTCCACTTCTCATCCATCACTTACCTTCCATTAGCCTGCTTTAGCTTTATTTTCATCGGTCATGTTTGTTTACTTTACATTATGTTATGTACCTGTTATTTGCCTTCATTATCTTTCATAACCTATAATTAATACCCTTCTTGTCTGACTACCAACTTCACACTTCTCAACCAGACTCGACATAAAATTGAATAATTACTTACAAAATAACAAACTTCGCATACGAGATTCGACCAAACATTACATCTCTTAACTTGATTAGAAATTAACTTCAAATCCTTGCTCTTAACTCCATCTCCTAATAAAATAAGACACCAACATGGCTACATGGGTGAATAAGGCAGCAGTGGCAGGAGGACCCAGAGACAGTGAAGGAAACCCTTTCCATTACACATTTTCAGCTTCCACAAAGTCTCGTATAGATTCCAATGGAGCGGAGGAAGAATAGAAAACAAATAATTATCATGAAGAAGTTGGGAACAACATTATCATTCATGGTCACAGATAATAATAAGTATTCATTCAGAATATGAATGTAATAATAATCAATAATGGTAATGATAATTGGGGAATATATCATTCAATTAGAAGTATGTATATGAACAATGGAATCAACTAGCTAGCATGTGCTGATGCCCCCAATTCCCCACCACCAATGGCCATAATAAGGAATCGTTCGTTTGATCCTCTAGTCTATATACAAAGAAGAAGAAGCCCATTTTTGTTTGCCTTTTTGGTTCTAATCTTTGGATGCTTCTTGCCTCCTTTTTCTTTCTTTTGTACAACGTGTATTTGTATTTTGTATCATCGTATAGGTTTTTGCTCTCAAGCACATGTGTGCAATGTAATCTGGCTTTTCCAAAGTAATCATTCATCGCCCCTAAGATCAAGAAATGCAATTTGCCTTTTGAAAGATGTTTTTTTCAAAGATGGTTTTAGGTTTGCTTTGTGCTTCTTAATAATAATTAAAGGCCTAATTTTAATATCCACTTAATAAGATTGTGTAGGTAATACCATTCACAATATATGATTTATTCATTCTTATTTCTCATGGAGAGATGAAAAGTGTGGATGTCGTTAATGAGTTAAATGTTTGTTGGTGGTTAAAATATAATAAGGATTGCATTTTTTGAGTTCGATATTTGTGTTTGTCAGTTTCTGTTTCGATAGCTTTTTTGTGATATTTTCTTACTTTTTTTTATAGAGATTGAGTTGTTTGTTAGGTTGAATTGACAACTTGTTCTGTAAACTTTTATTATGTATTATTTTGGTGTATACTCCTATATTGTATCTCCTAGCGCCTTTGCAATAAAATTATCAACTTTATCAAAGAAAAAAAATGCAAGAACTGCATACTCACAATAAAAACTTTAGATGCATAGTAATCGCTTTTCATAAACTTTTCTTTATCAATAAGTAATGTGATTGGTGTTCTCATAAGTATAGAAATTTCAATCTTTATTCCCTATGAATTCCACATCATTTCAAAATCCTAAATATCCACAAATCCATCATGCATCATTTCCCATTTTGTAAACCAAACAATGAATTCCGGCCACAAGCCATCAAATCTCTTGGGCACCCCCGGTGTGAAATGGTGGATTAGCCACCAAAACTTCATAAGACGACGACATTATTTGATTCCCATTTGCCAGCATCAGTACCTCCTTTTCCTTTTCCCCATCACCATGATGGTTAAGAGTTGTGGTAAAAATCATAACAACTTGGGGGTAAAGTAGGTGAAAGGAAGAGAAACCAGACATGATTCAAGAATGCAATGAATTTGTTTGTTTGAAATCTTGGTACAATTATCAATTACAATAGATAGGCTCCTTAAACATGAAACAACAAATCTAACACTTTTCCCCAATTTCCCTCTATTTCACTCGATTCTCATTTCCATCTTTTGGTCATAATTAACCCGACAAACAGCTAATAATCAGAGATGACAAAGGCTTGGTTGGTAAGTAATTTTACTTCTCATTGGGCTTGTTTGCTCCTCAAATTAGGAAGCAGCTAGTAATAGCTAGGCATGTGCTTTTGTTTCCTTTCAATCCGGTTTTTACCTCTTTTTCCACTCCCGCCTACTAAAACTCTAACAAGAATAACTACTGCTAGTAGTAGAAGAAGAAGCAGAACATAAGCCAACATTGACTGAAGTGCGAGCTTCTTCCTGGTGATCTAACCCACCATTTGGTGACTTGGTAGGAGAAGAAAGCTCAGTGATTCCACTTGAACATGGTGATACTGAAGAAGACGATGAACAAGGCCCTTCTTCTTCGTCTTCCTCCTCTTGTAGATCAATAGGCCCTGCATCAGACAACTCTTCCATTCTAAAATCCATGGAGGAATCATTATCATTAGGGCCTGTGATCGTCTCCTCGACTTCCGGCTGATTTGGGACTGGGAAACTATTTGAGGTGTTGACCCCTTGGAGGTTTTGGCTCTTGTTAGTGGTAGTCGTAGAAGGCCTTCTCTTCTTCTTCCTCTCAAACACAGTGCACAAGACCCAGTCTCCCAACTTCACCTTTGTCACCTGGCCATCCATCACCCCAAAAGCATATACAATTAGAAGCTAGCTAAACTAAACAACAGAAAGTGTAAATCTAATCCGGAATTGTGGACTGTTTACTTGTAATCCAATACTTGTTAACTAGATATATATATACCTGATTTGTGAAGGGGATTGTGGCCAAGCCAAGAAGGGAAAATTCGTGCACGACCCACTGATTGTTTAGATTAGCAGAAGCCTTCTTGTGTCTGCGGAAAACCAGACTTCTCCTCATCCCAACCAACTGGCAGTTGAAAGAAGGAGAAGGGGCAGACAGAATCATATGTCTGTCTTTCCCAGTATGCTTCCAGTAACCTCTGCCACATGAACTGTCAACAACACCATTCTTCTCACCATTATCATCACCGCCACTTGCCTCTCTCTTGCAGAAGAAATACCTCTTCTCCCTCGAGTTGCCTGCAGCAGGAAAATTTTAGCACCAGGGTATTTTCATTACTTTTAAAACGAGGAATGGAAATGGGTGCTTATCAATCAGGTTTCTTCTCTTGCTGGTCGATTGTATTTATAAGTACCTGGGAGTGTAGAAGGATGAGAGTGGAAAACGTCGAGCTCGGGGATGACTGAAGCAGGCAACGGGAGACCAAAGACCTTGCGTTTAAGGTAGTGGACGATGAGCTCTTCCTCTGTAGGACGGAATCTGTACCCAATAGGCAGTTTGACTCCTCCATTCACAGCAACTGGGCTTCCTTTCTCCATTTCCCCTTCTTCTTTCCTCTGCCTAATCGCTCTTCCCTCGCTTAGTACTACTTACTACAGACAACTTGGAGACTAAGTTGATAGTTGAGTCTCACAGACTCATAAAGGGTTTCCTTTTAAGGGGTGGATAAACTAGGAAACTCGGAGAGAGAGCGAGAGCGAGAGAAAGTGGAGCTGTGGCCTTGGTGGTGGGGGATAGTAATGGAGGGGCAAGGCAAGGCAAGGCAAATGGTGGAAGAGAAAGAGGTTGTTTATATATAGATATAGATAGAAGGGGGGTGGGGGCGGGGGTGAAGAAGAAATTCCAAGAAATGGGAAAATTGGCAAAATAAGTTGTTTCCAATTCAGATAACTATATACTCCTTCCGACTGACTCCAAAACTCCTTCCCATCCTTAGACTATGACGCCACCACATTTGGTATCTCATTTCTCTCTCCCTCTTCATTTCTTTTATTTTTTCCCCATAGGGAGATTAGATTAAAATTTAAGGAGTTCTCTTCCCTACAAAACTGACTCTCTACAAAACGTGTGCGTACACCAAAAGAGGCCTTCCCTCGAGGCCAAAACAAAACTGAAAACACACTCCCAAAGCTTTCGGTCAAAAAACTCTGGATTGGAAAGAAGGAAGGAAGGACACGGTTATGTACCTACTGTCTTTAAGCTGCACGTTTGCCACGTTACTTTTACTGTACCTCTACTTAAACAAGCGTTTAGAAAAGAAAAGCATGGAATTGGACTGTATATTCGATTCGGCATATGCAAAAATTCAATTCAATACCTAAACGTCACTATTCTAATTTACCATTTTACCACAGTAAAACCAGTATTCTAGTATGTGTTTTACTATCTTGACACAACAGCTTGCATCACAATACTATAAGAGAATAGACGGGAGATTCAAGAAGCAAATATGCAAAGATTCCCCTTTGACAGTTTCTAACCTGGTGAACCTCAAACCGTGAGGTGGATGTTGTTATCGTGCGTCTAAGTTTGATGTAGTAGTAATGAAGACATCTATCTGATGGAAGAAGCCAAGGAAGAATGACGGCCTAGTCAGAAACAGTCCATAGTGAAAAAAACAAGCAATGGAGCCTTAATCATCATAATTAAAGAAAAAGTTAAAAACTAAATGCAAGCCTCCTTGTCAAAAGAAACAACAGGGCGCCATTTGTAAGGAGAATAAGCGGTGATTACAACCACCCAAATATTGGGACAAAACACATCAAATGCAAACAAACGTAGGTATGAAGACAATTCCTATGCGTGCACATCTGGAATTACGAAAATAAGAATTTACTTATTTACTATTAACTATTAAGTATATATTATTATGATGATGCTTATGCAAAATTGGTGTTCAATGTAACCCAACATTAGGGACGTGATGATGGAAACAACAAGAAGAAGAGAATTTCTCTCTCACGCCCAAAGCAATTAGCCGCATAACAAAGACGCGTTTTGAGCTTGCAATTGTAATTATCACTTCAGAAAAATCAAAACCCCCTTTTGCTTTCAAGTTCTGAGTTCCCAATCCCCCCTCCAAAAATCCCGATGTTGGAGTATGCTTTGCCAACATTTTAAGCATAATTTATGCCTGTTGTGATTTCTATCGACACAAGAGGAACACATCAAAAGAAGGTGTCACTACCTAATGTCAAGCACGAACAAAATAATGGCACTATCTTCTTTTCTATAATTGTTTTGACCGCCTACTAGTTGCTATGTTGTCCTGAATTATGTATAACAGGAAGTCAGGAACTGTATATGGCCAAAGGGAGTATTATTTGACGAGCAAAAAGAAAATTACTACTATACCTTTGTATATACTTTCAGTATTTACACTAATCACGCAAATATGTCAATGTTTTTGTTGCTTTTGGCCCAATGATCTTGGTAATTTGTTTGACCCAACATTTTCAAGAGTATTGCCGATTCGAAGTATAATTCAGCTTAAAAATAAATTTTGTGGAGCTAAAATGTACGAGCGAAAATTATGATAAAAAGAATGAGATTATACTTAAAACTTCTAAAAATTCCGGTGGGGATAATAAAGTGTTTCTTTAGCTTGAGAGCTTTGTTCTGTAATCCTAGTGCAAAGGTCTATATAGGAGAGGACCTAGGAGAGGACCAATAGGAAAATTTTATCGACATATGGGAAATAGTTCAAGTTCAAAAAAAATAAGCGATAGTTTTACTGATATGAACCCATGATCCTGCAACTATTGAAAAACATGTCATCTAGTAAAGTAGAAGCAATTTTTTCTTGTGCTTAAGAGATTGAAATTATTTATTAACCGAGACAAAATACAATTAAATCTCATTTCTCTCAATTTTTCATGCAAACTCTAAAAATTAAATTCCTCCCAACGCAGACCCTTCTTTCATTCAAGAAACAAGAACAAAAAGATCAAGATAAGCGAGTCCCTCTTGATCTTCAATTAAATAGGCAATCAATTCATGAGCGACTGTCTAATATGATATATTAAGTGCATTTTACAACTTTGCAAAAGTTAGAAATATGTTGTATTATTTTGTTGTAACTTGTTCTAATCGGTCATTTTCTTATTTTACAAGTCATATCATTTATAATTATTATTTAAATTTTAAAAGAGATGTGCCACTGGCTCTAGACCCATTGCTATTTTAGTGTTAGACTGCACTCGCTAACTCTACCAAATAGAGAGAACCAAATGCACATGTTTGTTTTTTGTTTTTGGTAGAAAGGGTTTGGGGGTTAGAAAGCAACCAATGATAACGAAGAAAAATCAATATTACTAATTGGCATTACCTTACCTATCATGCAGAATTTCAAACCTCGGCATCCACAACAGCCAAGGCTAACCTCCAAACAAAGACATCACCAAATGGTTAATGTTACATAACCAACCCCCTTCCACCCGTCTTAGGGTTGGTAATGAGAAGAAATCAAACTCTCTCACATGTTTCCGTATAATTTCAATCAAAGATCAAACTGAATAAAATGATGCAGACCTCATGTTCCAGATCCACCAAATGCACACGATGCAACAAAGTCAACCAACCGTATCGAAATGAGAGAACTCACTCCTATATCATATATGTTTTTTACTTGTTGATGAAGAGTGTGCAACTTTACAACAACATAGAAAACATAATTATATCTTCATCATTCCCCAGATTGTAGTTCAATAAGTTAAAAGCCCCTAAACAGAACCATAGTGATAAACAATGAACTTTTCTATTCGAATCTCTCTGTCTCTCTTGAAATTTTAATAGAGGAAATGAAGGGAAAGGCACACAAACAAATGAGAGTCACTTCTATCAATGAATAACACAGATTTAGGGAATTAAACTACGCAATACATGCCAAGTGGTGGAGGTCTCTTCAGAGCCAATTAGTGGTTATATATTGCCTAATAAGATTCGATTTCTGATTACTATTCAAAATGGATGCTCACGATATATTTTGTTTAAGATTATCTATCTATCTTGAGTTCCCTGCTCCTCCATTTTCTGCGTTGTTCAATGTATTGGACAGGCTAGCTGCTCCATTATTCTAATGGTTTCGTTGGTGGGTAGGATGTTTTATTTCCTTCTCTTCTCGCCAAAAGAAAAGAAAAGCCTATTTGGTCCCATTGCCTTCTGTTGGGGACAGTGCCTTCCTTCATTTCCCAAGTTTGTCTATGAACCTCCTCCTTAATTGCTTCTCTATTATTTCTATGCATCGGTATCCCCTTCCTACATGACACTTTTACGTGCCACTTCAGGAGACCTAACAGAGATTTGTGTGATTTAAATATGGTTAGTTCATAGATTAACCCCTTTAATATCTTTTTTAAGACAAGTTCAATCAAATACTCTAATCTTCATCACGTAAAACAACAAAAGAAAGTACAGTCTTTCTCCCTAGCAAACAAACTAACCTCCACCTATGGGATAAGGGAATTTTGCCTTTCACGGCATTAGGCCATTAGCGACGTCTTCTAGCAGTGAAGCTCTTAGCTACTCTTGTGAGCATGTCAAGGTATAGAAGTTGAGTGACCTCTAACTCCCTTCAATTATTTCTACTTCTTTGGGATGGTCAGATGCGTATTCTAATGACTGAGTGATATCTACATCTCTAGTCTTTAAAATAAAAAGGTGCTATCATACACGTCTAAGAAACCAATTATAGAAGTTTAATTTGAGTTTTAGTTCCAGACATTACCTATAGATATAGTAGTTAATATATTTGAAGTGTTCAATCCACGGTAAGTGTCCATCTCAGATAGTATGATATATTCAAATGTTTTTACCCTCCAATTATTTCCCAGCCGGGTAGCATGATAATCAATTAACTATCCAGAATTAGAATTCCCAGAATAACGATCTCCGTAATATAAACCATCCAAATGCCAAATCTCAGAATTTCCCGAAGATATGTTTATTTCCGTAAGGTGACAAGAGAAGGATAGACAACAGAGCGTGTACCTGTCTTACTTTCTTCGTATGCTGGCCTTGTACCTACGACTACAAGTATTTGTAGGCCGTAGCTGTCACTCTGAAGTAAGCCGCAAAGTTGCCGGATAGATGTAAGTCAGCCAAAACCCAAGAAACCCCCCAGGCGCAAAGTAAACTGCTGGCATCGGCATCACCTGCCACAGGAACCAAAGTGAAAACGATGTGGCTGCATTTTGACCCACCCCAATCGGTCAAAAGCCATAATGGACTCATTGACCACAACCCAATATGACTCAAGCCAGTTGAATAAAACTCAGAATGAGGAACGATCACTCAAATCTAACCGATAACCCATCTGTTTGTCAAATTTTAGTCTAAATGGCCAATATGTTTGTTAAGTTCTTAAAACCCGTAAATAACTTGATCTACTATGTCATTTATTCGGAATGACCCACACTCAATGACCCACTGACCAGTTTGCCACCTGAGATTAACTTACTCATATAGTTGTGGTTCTTAAGAAGAATAACTAACATTGTGGATTAGACTTGATTTGATAATCATTTCCCAGAGAGAATGCCAAAGCTGAGAATAACTTGACCACAACCATAGGCCTAACTAATACGCTATCTCAGAATTAGATATTATAAGCATACCAATTGATTTTGGGAATCAATGACTTGAATCCGATCCTTCCAATTGATTGGATTGCCCACCTGTTTAAATCTAATTATTCCCAAGCAAGCTGTTTCCTTTGTTTCTCTGGGTATCTTGGCTGCTCACATCATGTTGCGGGTTCCAACCACGCCAATATGCCATGTCTGCGTACAACTTCCCCAACAGAGTACCAGTTGAGTCAGTCACGCAACACAACTTGTGATTAGATAAAAAAAAAATGGAGATCTGAAAGAAGGGAGGACGCATGATGTAAACAGAGGTTTACCTTTTTTTGCTGTTAAATGTAATCTTTTCTTACTAGCATCACTTTGTTTACCGTGCAACCTTCATCAAAGTTTATCAGACCAGCAGATACTGCAAGTCAATTCTTGTTGCAGAGAGACATATAGAAGCTTGTTTCTTCGTTTAAACTTCCAGTCACCTGTTAATGAGGATTTCCCGAGACTATTCCAAAATCCAAACCACAGTTCACAACTTTCGCTCCATTCAGTAACTCGTTGTTGCCTTGAAATCAATAAGCAAGGTCAATTACCAACGCAGGTATCACCCATCTCCGTGCTGAAATTTATCCACTATAATCATCACTAGGACATGAGGTATCTTCAATGGTTGCTCGCTCTCGAAAGAAGAGCTCAAACAAAGATGCACTCTTCAGTGCCTTACTTTCAGCGCCACCAGCTTCGTCATAGGAATAAATGATTATTTACCCTCCCACTCTAGAGTTTCAAAGTCTCCACTGGTTCTATAATCTACTTCATCGCCATGCAACCCATATTCATAAGGCATTGAACCCTCTCGTGACATTTAGATAAAACAATGATCAACCAAGAAAGAGCTGTAAACGCTTACTTCCATGGAGCACTGTACTGATGAGTTACATTGCTAACAACAACCCCCCACTGCACCTCTCAAAGGATCTCTGCACAAATCATCCCCCGCTAATTCAATTCACATTCCTGGTAATCTTCCATCAGTCAACCAAATGAACTGCAACAAGCATATCCAAAAATCAGCTGTGATCTCATAATGCTTCCGTAATAATCACTTCGAGTATCTTGCCAGGCTCCTTCAAGGAACTGCATGGCTGGATATCCACCTTCAGAGCCTGGAAAAAGCATCATTAACCTGCATATACGAAATGCTAAGAAACTACAGGAAATTAAGAACCTCCCATTGTATTAAAACACACCTTCTTGACAACTATGTATCATCTCAGGAATCAGGATGCACAATTTTGAACAGTGTCACATAAATCAAAACCCTAAGCATCATGTCTATCTAAGAGAATGCAAAATACGCCGAAGCAAATGCACGAATTCGAACTCAACCAGAAATGCCATGAATCTGGAAAACGCATAACAAACGGATAGGACTAGACTAGTTGCTCGAAGCTTGCGGTAGGAGATCGTGCGAAACTGCAAACGTAAAACCGAAGAATGCTGAAATCAGCAAAAGAAGCCGCGGCCATTACAGACGGTACCAAACACGAATACACTCGAGCGAGACGACACTGTCCAGCTTCAAAGATTCAGTGGCGAATGAATGGTGATTGCCGATGAGCACGAGCCGAGAGTAAGGTTGGGGTATCAAAGTGTCACAGGGCGGTCGAGAGCGCGAAGCAAGGACAAACCGGGAACTCATATTTATTTTGGAAGGAGAAGCGTCTAAACCAAAATGCTGAATCTGCCGTGAATTGTCCGAGGGCAATCGGAGGAGCAACGACGGAGTTACTCCGTAGTGCGGTGGAGAGAATTTCTTTTCGTTTTCCTGTTTGGTGCTTGTTGCGATGGAAAGAAGAGGGAAAATTTTCGCGCTCTGACCAAAAGATGGTAAATCCAGCAGCCTGTCGCCAACTGTGTTGGGCCTTCTCACCAAAAAAAAAAAAAAAAACTGTGTTGGGCCTTCTGGGCTTAAGAAACTTAGTGTAGGCTTTGCTGCTTTGTCAAGCCCAATTTTCTGTATCAGTCATTCAGCCCATGTGGATGCTTACCCTTGAGCCTTAATACAAGCATACCAATTCTCTTCCAGAGTAGGCAATTCCACAACAAAGAAGCCTAAACCCATCCTACTATCTTATCAATCTTACACTCTGATACCAAGTGAACAACAAATCAGTCTCTAAAAATCAAGTTATTGTATGATGTTTCATTATGAATCTTATTATGTCACATGCTGACATATAAATGTTTCATTTCTTCTAAACACGCAGCACAAAGGCTTCAACTAATGGAAGATATTGTTGTCAAGATCTTACCGTCCAACAAACCCCTTATAAAAGTCATCTTGTCCCCACACGTAACTTAGCTCTCTATAAGAAAACAATCATGAACTACACAAAGTGGGTTAAACACTAACTTGATTTCTGAACTCACTTATACTTGACTTATACATTTATGTTTCCTGCCATCCCGGAAACTTGCCCTGTTGCTGAGGATAGCCCAAGACTTCACAACATGCGGAAGAAAATAGATAGGACAATATTTCAACTGTACTTTGACAGTCCTAACATTCCATCCTTGGCGTAGGAAGTATTGATGTGTGTCAAAACATCCTGCTCGTGCTAGTCGAGATGTTATATTGCAATCAAATGCATAAACAACTAGATAACTAGCTCATATGCATCAAGAATACTCCAGACAGAAATCAGGGAGGTAAAGATGAACTCAAGTTAACTCGATAATCCAATCCTTTCCTTCCTTTTTGCCCTATTTGTCCCATCCTCTTCCTCCAGTCAAATATCATTAGTCATCCCCTCCCCAAATTTGTTGATACAAGAATCCCACTTTAACCCAAATCAACACCCACAAGTTAAGATAGGTATTTACAACAATGGATGCTACATTACACGACCCCAAAACTTGACAACTCAATGCTGTATCAATTCGGGAATCAACTTCAACAGAAACGATATCTCCTTCGGTGAGAACTGCGGCCTAGCTTTTACCTCCTCTCCTCCATCTCCCAACAACAACTTCCCTTCTTCTGCCTCCTCCTCTTCTTTAGAAGGAGTAATCATCGCATTAACTGCTTCACTGATCTCGGCCACAAAATCCACAATCACCCCATCAATCCCCATCAAATGCTGCATGTAAACTGCTTCGGCCACATTACTGCAATAGAAGATCATCAATCAACGCACCCGTAAGCAAACAAATTAAAAATCCGTCTACAAATGAAACTAAAGCCTCAAACTTTGGTAGAAGGGGGTACTTACTTCAACTTGCCATAAGTGAGCAAAGATAGCTTGGACTCCTTGATCTTCCCCACAGCAGCGGGATTTCTGAAAACCCCTCTCACCTCCGAGACAACACCAGCAAGCCCACCTTCCAAGCACAGCTTAATCGCCTCCTCCAGCGAGTTTCGCCTCGAATCGTAGAAAGTCTCTGCCCCTGCATCTGTCAGGAAGTAAACAGGGTAAACACTCTGCAACTTCCTGACGAGCAGCGCGGCATCGGGCTGGAACGAGGAGAATATCACGGGGCGTCCTTCTGCACAATCGAACACGATTTTGAGGATTGAGTTAAGAACTCCGACGAGGTAGTCCTGTTGGTAGACGACATGGTCGTCGAATTTGAGCTCGATGTTGAACCCCAGAGACGCCGGCTTCACTTGCTGGAAAGCTTCCTGTAAGGTGCAGAAGGGCTCGTCGTTTTCCACCTCCCACCTCACGATTTTGCCGTCTTTGGTTTTCCTCAATAGAGGTTTGCTCACCGGCGGCGAGGTGGAGGTCGGATCTTCCTTCTGGGGGCCGTAGGCGAGGAATTCGGCGAGGCAGAGCTCGGTTACTCGCTTCTCGAAGATTGTACCCTGTTTTGGACGGAATCGAATTGCAGATTAGTAAGCCGCACATCGGATAAGGGGAATTTGGGTTGAGTAGTAACTAAGGGAAAGGGGAAAGGAGATGAGCTTACGTTATCCTCGGAAAAGATGAAGTTATCGTGGAAGATGACAGGGCAGCCATCTTTGGTGACCTACAAAAGCAGGAGAAGAAACAAACAGAGCAGTTCAGCTTTTGTTTTAGCTGCTCGGAAAAGTCCAAAAAGGGAGCCACTTTGTCTTTGAGAACGTAAGCCTAACCAATCGAGAACATGTACCCAAGAAATTATGGAACTAGTGAATAGTGATGCTGAGAAAATAAATCGACGGTGAATTTGGTTTATTATTCAGCGACGGATTAAAGATAAGAGGGCAGTTTGGGCAAATAAAAAAAAATGCAAGACGCGGCTGCCGGGAACCGCACCGGCAAAAATAGACACTAGCAGATTTAGAGAAAGGGCGGGAGCTAACCTGAATGTCGAATTCGACGAAGTCGAGAGGGAACCGAGCGGCCGCGTTGAATGACATGACGGTGTTCTCTTTAATGGCTCTCATCCTTGGATCTAGCGACTGGAAATTGTTCATCCCGTGCCCTCTGTGACCAACCACCAGAAACTTCGGCGGCCTGAATCCCGCCCCATGGCCGATGCCACCGCCAGCGCTCAAGTCCACCCCTGCAGACAAATATCAAATTGTTCCCATCCGTTAATTAACCAAAAAAAAATTATACAGAAAACATGCACCGGGATCAAGAATAGAACCCCTTACCGGCGGAAAATCGAGACGGGTTGAGGACGAGGGAAGCATTCTCCTGGACGATGTCGAGAGTGGGGACGTCGGAGACGTGTACGGCCTTGAGAGCCATTTTAGGACAGAAAGAAGCCTTCTTCTTGTTTCTTTCTGGGGTTATTGTATGGTGGAGGGGTTATGTGAGGAGATGGGAATTTCAGAGGGGATTATATATGGGGAGGAGAGGGGGAAAGGCCTCTCTCATTGCTGTTATTGTGAACAACTCCAACACAGAGAAGGAGAAAGGGAGGAGGAGGAAGGGAAGAAGAAGAAGAAGAACAGAGAGGATGAAGGGGATCTCCCCGGGGAATATTCCAAGGAACGGGGGAGACCTTAGACATATGCCCACCCCGTTTCGTCGGAATTTTCTGAACGGATATTCCCCCCCCCTTTTTCCTCTTTATCTTTTCCCTTTGATTTTCTTTCTTTATCCTTTTTCCGTCTTCGTCTTAAAAGAAACAAAAAAAAAAAAACTAATTAGATCGGCAAGACGCCGTTTCCGTAACCCTCCGTTGCGGTCGGTTTTCCTCTTTTTTTTTTTTTTTAAGGGAGTTTTCCTCTTTCTTTGTTGATTCTTTTTTACTTGTTCTCCCCTCTTTTCTATTTTGGAAATTTTATATTTTTTAACCTTTTTTTCTCCTGACACATGGTTTAGCATCCTAAATTTCCAAAAAACTCTGACACCGATAATTAATTGTTTGTTTGACAGTATTAATAAGCGTTTAAACGAAAAATCAGGTTGATATTCTCCTTTCCCTTTTATCTTCAATAGACAATTGATTAGCCATTAGGAGTGACTTACTCATTAGCCATCATAGTATGATCTTTATATTATTTTATAATATGTATCACACTTTTCAAAATGAAAATATTTCCTAGCTACCAATATAATTTGAAATTAGGATAAATACAATTTATTAGTCAAATCTTTCAAACTTCTCAAATTATTAGCCAAACTTTTCAAAGTATAAAATAGTAGTCCTTTGTTAACTTTTCGTTAGTAGTTTTGTTAGTAATATTAACTTGGCAACATGATACGGATTTGAAAGAGACACGTGACAGTTAAAATTTTAAAATTTTAGTATTTTAACTAAAAAAGAATTACGAAATTACTAACGGTAACAAATAAATGACAATATCTTGATGCAGTACAAAAAAATTTGGCTAATAATTTGAAATATTTTGCTAATAAATTGTATTTACCCTAAAGTATATCATGTTAAGTTTAACACACTTTTGTGTTAACTTAACGACTAAATGATTCACTTAACATATCATGTGTCAACCTAACGATAATCAATTGTGTTGAATGGATATAGTGTTCTCTTAGGTGCTAAGTTGAAGTATAAGTGAGTGATTTATTGATGATCGCAAACTTGAGTGAGCAACATGTAGTTGGGCCATTGATGGTTGGTTGCGTGACACAACTTCTGCGATTGTGATTGTGACCCTCTATTTGTGCTAATGTTCTCCGTCAAGTGCCGGTTCCGTTATAAAGCAGCTCATGTCCTCCTGCGAAAAAAATGATCACTATTATTAATAGGGGGAAAACATATATTACTCAAGTAATAACCAATTACGATTAGAAACTGTCCCTTTACTTATTACCATTGGTCTCCTTATCTGAAGGGAGTAGGAAACAGGGGGCGGGTGGTGAAAGTGGAATATCCGAAAGAAGATGCTTCTTCTAATCTAATCCTTTGCTTGATTCCATCGAGACCAAAGACAGCAAAATTATGCGGATGATCGGAGGATTATTCGGGGGCGTGCTTCATTATGTGTTTATACGGAATCAAATCAACTCTTACAAAAATCATATAAACACAGCAAACATTTTGGACTTGGACCATATTATTGTTTTGATCTTTCATCACACTCGTGGCAACATATCAATATTTAATGTAAATTTTTGGTCAACGGCCCAGAGTAAGCTAGGTATATATTGTGTCTAAACTCTAAATTAGACCATAAAATCTCAAGATAAATGTATTTTCTAATGAGATATATCCAAGGTTGTCAAACCGATTTATGCCAGTGTGCCGGTTTAGTAAGTGGAATGGTTCAACCGGTGGCACATACCGGTTTGTGCCGGTTCATGCCGGTCAATATTACAAATAAAATTATAAATACTCATATTTAAACATGACATTTAACGTCAATACCTAAACATTTATACTTGAATCCAACAACTAGGGGTGGCTATACGGTCCGGTCCGGTTAAATTGGCCCAAATTGATCCGGTCCAGTCCGGTTTTTTTGAAAATATAAGGACCGAAGATTGGATTGGATACAGTCCGGTCTTGATCCGGTCCGGTCCAATTCGGTCTTGATTTTATATTGAGATTGTGGAAATTTGAGTGGCCTAAGGCCTAAAAGGGTGAGGAGTTGGTTAAGTTTTGTACTAAGTGCAAAGGTTTGTGACCGTTTATGCAAATTACCCTTAAGTTTTGGGTGTTGAGATCTCTTATCCGGTCTTTATCCGGTTTTTTACCTCAAATCTAAGCCCAAAGATTGGTTTGGATTGTTTACTATCCGGTCCCGGTCCAGTCTCGGTCCGGGTTATACGGTCCGGTTTCCGATTTTTCATCCGGTCCCGGTCCAAATAGCCACCCCTACCAACAACTAACATCAATATTTAACTTTTATACTCATAAAATAAATAATAAAATAATTTTTATCGATTAAATTCTCTAATATAAGGTCATTTTACTTAGAGATTCGTATATCGATCATACCGGTCATACCGGTGGTGTCACGCCGGTTTTATGACCGGTACCGGTTGAACCCGGTACAATCGGTGTCACGCCGGCCAGCGTGACAACCATGGATATATCTCACTTGATAATAACTTTCACTATTGTGATTGTCAATGAGAAGCTAGCCATTGAAATTAAACAAAAGCTAGCCAAAGGTCACATCACATGCATGGTGAAACTTTTAGTGGGCGCTCGATCGCAGATCTCGTGTTCGACCCCTACTCAGGCCCGGTATGGTGTTCCCAGAGGCATTAAATGAGGATCTTAATGGAGCACTCAAAGGGCTCAAGTAGGTGAACCCCAAGTTTGATCTCGCTCTGCCATCGCTCAAGCAGTGTGTGCATGGGGATGTTCTTGGGATATATAAAAAAGTTAATCAAAAGCTATAAAGTGCATACTACTGCCTTCAATTGCACAATGGTTATATGTCTTGTCCCATGTTGAAGTGTTATGTACTATCTATCAATTTGGATAATTCTCGTATTGAATGCGTATGTGGCGAGTATGGGTAGAACACGTTAAAAACTTTGTGTGGATGAAGCGGGTATGATTTTAGACTCCCTCGTTCCACAAAGAGTATTTCTTCATATGTAAAAAATATAAGGTTCATATAATAACAGGTCAATGATAAGGAGAATAATTCAAAGAAATAAAGAGTTGAAATGTAATTGAGTGACCATCCAGAGTCCCACACCAAACCATAATTTCTCTCTGATTTCGTCCTTGGCTATTTCACTTCGCCTACACCTACTCTTTTAGCAAGATTATGTTACTTACTTATTGTTTAATAAATGTGTGGAGATTAATGTTTTTAATAGTATTGTACTTTGTCTAATGAAGTAATTTATGTGTTTAACGATTTGATGCTTTTTGAATCCATGTTAAGAATGATTGTATCATTTTTATTTCAAAATTTATTAGATCCGTTTAGTTTTACATTTGAATATTTACGTGATGAGTTCTGTGTATAATAATATGGGATATATAGGACATGTATAACTCGTGGGTATCCAAAAACCATATATATGAGGATGAAGTTGAAAAATATTCATCGCATGGAAAATGAAGATGGTTTGGCCAAGACTGAGAATGAAAATGTTAAAATATTTGAAAATGAGAATGAAGATGATTTAGCAAAGATGATCATCTTTAATTACATGAATCCTCCTCCTCTCCCCTTTTAAACAAAAATCAATATAAATTGATAAATAATAAAAAGTGATCATACTTAATGTTATTTTCAGCTGGAGTTTGAAGTTTTTATTCTCTCTCTTGTACGGATGAATAATCATAGTGATTTTAAATGGATAAATAAGCCAGGTCAGAACAGAAGAGAGTAGATAAAGAGGACAACCCAAAACGTGGCCACCAGTAACGTGGAGCAAAGCAGGATTGGATAGAGGAAAGGAAACACAGCTTGCAGGCAAGCAGTGCCGATGTGGATCCACGCTAGCATAGCACCAACACCCAACTCTTCTTTGGCTTTGCTTTTACAGTCTCCTCTCCTCTCCTCTCCTCTCCTCCATTTATTTATTCTGTAGTGTACCCTTTCTTTTCCCCACTTGCTTGCTTCGCTTCATTATTTTATTTGTGTACAATACAATACGTGGTTTTGGATCAGATGGCACGGGGCCGGGGGAGGGCTGTGAATAAAATTAAAATACGTAACCTCTCATCAGATTCAGATCAGATCCACGTACCCACCACTGATTCTGCATAATCGATCTCTAGATGAAATGAAGATGCTACTCGCGAGCTGCATATACTATATTTCTATGTGTATCCTCCATCGATCTTTTTGATCTCCAGCTAGCTAGGTATAGCTGCATCATTCATGCCTGGCCATCTCCAGACCTAATCCTCTGACTCTGACTCTGTCGTTTCTTATCCAATTAATATATACTAATTGTTTGAATTCTTAAATCAATAATCATCCCCTTCTCACCGACAACGCTTGTATTAATTATCTTATGCTGGTGATCGGGAGAGGGAGACCATTCTTTTCTTTGGATGGCCTGACTCACTATCTAATCGGGTCGCTTGTTGCCATGCATCTCTGTCGTCTCTGCGGAAAATTGTTGATATATTATTGTTATGTATATTTGTGGTTTCGCCAACCTCCATCTCTCCGTTGCAACAAACTCAAAACACCTCAAACAAAACAAATCACTACTAGCTATATATATGGATTATTTATAAATATAACAAACCCCATCCAAAATTATTATGAGGTTATTAATTAATACTATTACATACAAAACCTAACCAAAAACTTGTAAATATGGTCATTACGAACAAGGACTTGATCTAGTGGTAATATCACTAGTAAGAATATGGAGATCTCAGGTTCAAATCTCTTAAATAGTACCTTAATTACAAACAAAAGAAAATAATATATCACCCTTATAAAAAAATAGACATAGGATTATTGAATTTAACGTCTAATAGTTAATCACCAAGAAACATATATTATACATAATCTCTTGATGTCGTGGGCCTCTTGAAATTTGTGGTGGAAATCATTATTTCTTCACTTCTTCCATGTGATCGAGGAGGAGAGAAATTAAATACTGTTGGCATGATTTTCCATACATACATAACTAGCTAGCTAATTAAACACTTGAGTGATGGACACTCGTGCTTATAAAAAACTTAATACTATCAATAATCGAGCAAATGAGAGTAACGATAAAACATGATGCATCAACTATTACATGGTGCGTGCCGAGTATGTAGTAGTGTATATCTAACATTTAATACTTGCTTTGCT